AGGGTGGCAAAAAGTGCAGCTTTGTGCACAAGAACAATCGAGGCCCCACCTGATTACAGAGCCTAGCCGTGGTGTCTCCACTCCACTCTACGCTCCGTGGTGTTCCTTAGAGCTAGCACACCAAGTTTCCCCAGCGCGATAGCATCTAAGGTTGGGAGCCTAGGGAACGCTCAGATAATGCAGTTATGCCCTACCCTGAAAGCCTCTTCAATGCTGTACCTTTTCCTTAAAAGTGTGAATGTTAGTTTTATTTTCCTAGTTACTTCAGGCATTTACACCACAGTAATTTATAATAAAGTTACAATAATTCTTAATAAAAATTACAGAAAATGTCAAATTTATAATATAACATTTATTTAAAGTACAGATTATTTAGAAGTGGACATGATAGGTCTTCCATCATGGCTGCAAAATCCTACCTGAACATGTTAATATATATTTTGCATTAGAAGATAAAGCAATATTCAAATAAATCCTAAAATTGCTTTTCTATTTCCATGGGTGTTTACATATACCACCCTTGGTGAAATGGCCTGAAAAACAGCCATTAAGATGTGAATCCGAGTTAAACCACCCAAAAGTGTATGAGACACCATATGCCACAGCTGACCACGTTTAAAGAGTTGATGACTATCAGCCAGCTTAAACAGTAATGAGAGAGTTACAGAGTAATTTTTGAAACAAGGGAGGTCCCAGTTTGAACAAGTGTTACAAGGAATGAAGGAAAGTTTGTAGTAGTAGGGAGAACAGTGGGAACAGAGCAGCTGTCAAAAGCAGAGCAGCTGGGCTTAACGATCTTGAATGTTGGCTCAGCAGCTTCATGACTTTTCCCTAGGCCAGCTGGAGCATCTGCCCCATCAAATACAAGCAACTTGCATCCAGTGAGGGCAGAGACAGTTCAGGGTGCAGCATGTAGGTATGCACACCTGTCTGTGTTTGTGACCTTGGGTGGTGCTTACTCCCCAGTATGTGCATTAACAGATTTTGATGAGCGGTAAAAGTACACATTAAGAACCCACATCTCCAACAGGAGCTATGTGAGAGGGGGACTGTGCATATAACTCTCTGTGTGTAGGTGCACATGGATTTGTGTGCATGAATAGAAACTTTGGAGATTGGTAGTGAAAGGACGTTTAGAAATTTGTTAGGTGCTCGTTAGCATTTTTCTGTTAAGTGTCCTATCTGATGTATTGTTGATACTGATCCCAAACATATAGCTCAGTGATTGCCAGCTAATTACATGCCTAAGCAAACTGGGCAATTTTTCCCTGTTACACCATTAGGTTGTAATTGTAGGTATTAAGTGATATGTAATGTTATGAATTGGAGTTCTCTACCACTGGGAGAGACAAACAGTTGTTGACAATGGAAAGATAATCTCACTATGAAGATAGTAATATAGACTCCTTTTTGAAGATTTTTGAGCAAAACTGTGACTGTTTCTAGAATGCTACAAGCTGTATTGGTATTGTTAGAATTAGGTGTGACAGCAAGCATGCTGTCAGAACATGCTGTAATTATACCAGTCAGAGGTGCTATTCCAGCAGAGACTAGCTGAACTGCTATTACTAGGCATCACAAGTTCCTTGTTGTAAGACAGTGGCTTTATCAGCGACTTTCATTGTGCTTCCATAGACCTTGTATAATATGTCCATATTTTTCTTGTACTGGGGACCCCAGAACTGGATACAGTATTCCAGGTGGGCTCTCATGAGAGCAGAGGGGGAGAATCACCTCCCTCAACCTACTACCATGCTGCTTTTTATGTAGTCCAGGACACAACTGGCTTTCTGGACTGCAAGCCTATGTTGCTAGCTCATATCCATTTTTACATCAACCAACAAGCCCAAATTCTCCACTGCAGGGCTGCTCTCAATCAATTCATCACCCAGTCTGTAGTGATGTTGAGGATTGCTCTGACCCAGGTGCAGGATCTTGCACCTGGCCTTGCTGAACTTCACAAGGTTCACCTGGGCCCACTTTTCAAGCCCGTCAAGGTCCCTCTGGATGTCATCCCTTCCCTGTAGCATTATCAAGAGCACCAACCAGCTTGGTGTGGTCTGCAAATTTGCTGAGGGTGCACTCAATCCCACTATCTATATTATTAAAAAAGATATTAAACAGTACTAGTTGCAGTGTGGACCCCTGAGGGACATCATTTGTTACTGGTTCCCATTTGGACACTGAGCCATTGACTGTAACTCTCTGGATGTGGCCATCCAGCCAATTCCTTATCTAACATGCCATTCATCAAATCCATATGTTTCCTATTTAGAGGCAAGAATGTTCTGGGGGACCATATTAGAGGCCTTACAGGAAGTCCAGATAGATGCAATCAGTTGCTCTTCCCTCTCTGCTGATGCACTCGCTCGATCAGAGGAGACCACTGGATTAGCCAGGCACTGTTTGCCTTTGGTGAAGCTATGCTGGCTCAGAATCACCTCTATGTCTTCCATATACTTCAGCATAATGTCTAGAAGAATCTCTTCCATGACCCTACTGGACAGTGAGGTGAGGCTGACTGGTGAGTAGCTCCTTCCTGCTGCAAGGAAACTTGCTCTTGGACTCAATAGCTCACTTGTACAGAAATGTGTAAATGCATGCAGTGAGATTGACACAGAGAAGAGAAACGACACTATCCTGGTGCAGTTAAAAGAACTGTTGTATGCAGAAGCACATTGTTCTGTACCACAGAATGAAAAGAATTAAAGATTTGGACAGTGCTGTTCTGTGAGCAGGTGTTTTTTAGAACTCAGCTTAGGTGCAAAAAAAAAAAAAAATCAAAAAAAAAACAAAAAACAATCTTTATCGATCAGGTATGCACCAGTACCTGCAAAATGGATGCAGGCCAATCATCACAAAGTCATGGAGCAATGGAGCAGGGTGAGAGATCATTTTCCACTTATGAACCACTTGGCAATAGAAAGAGGGAGGGAAAGGAAGAGGTGTTTTACTGTCTGGCAGATTTCTTGTAGGTGAAACAACTGAATGCTAGTTTTCAGCAAGGCTATTCCTTTGAATGGATAACTGGAAACACAGTCTAGGTGTAAATAAATAAAAGACAAAACAAAAAAATCCAGCTGTATTTTGAGAAGAAAAAAAAAGATAATTCACTGCTTTGAAATTCAGGCTTGATTTGGGATCTCTCTTCTAAACACTCTCTTAACCTTAACCAGTAGGCTACCTAAGCCAGTTATCATGAGGATATGTTACGTGTCTTTTTGGAAACACACATCTATGTATTCTCCATGCCAGTCAGACACCACCACGTACCAGTGTGTGGTTGTGGTGGTTTTACTCAAAGGGAAACGGGAGAGAAAATACAATGAAAAGGTCTCAAGGGTAGAGATAAGAACAGGGAGATCACTCAACAATTATTGTCAAGGATAAAAGACAACACAGGGAGATTAATGTAATTTATTACCTATTACTAACAAGCTAGAGCAGTGAGAAACTCAAACTAGAAACACCTTCCCCCCATTACCCTCTTCTACGTCCTCCCCCAAGCGGCAAAGGGGAACAGGGAATGGGGGCTGCGGTCAGTCTGTAACACTTAATCTCTGCCACTCCCTCATGGTCACTCTCTGCCCCTGCTCTAGTATGGCGTCCCTCCCACAGGATGCCATCCTTCCTAAACTGATTCTGCATGTGCTTCCCACAGGCAGCAGCTCTAAAAGAGCTGCTCCAATTGTGGATCTGTACTATGGGGTCCATCCTCCAAGAGCAAACTGCTCCAGCATGGGTCCCCCATGGGTAGCAGCTCCCCCCAGATCCCCTGCTCCTTTGTGGGCTCCTCTCTATGGGCTGCAGCTTCGTCCAGGCCACATCCACCTGCTCCACTGGGGGCTCCTCCATGGGCTGCAGCATGGAAATCTGCTCCATGTGGGACCCCCAGGCTGCAGGGGGACAGCCTGCTCCACCAGGGACCTCTCTGCAAGAGAAATTCTGCTCTGTGCCAGGAGCACCTCCTGCGCTGACCCTGGGGGCTGCAGGGCTGCTTCTCACCCATCTCTCTCCCAGCTGCTGTTGTACAGTAGTTTCTTTCCCTTTCTTAAATCTGCTCTCACAGAGGCGCAAGCAATTTCTTTTATTGTCGGCTCTGGCCAGCGGTGGGGCCCTTTGGAGCTGGCTGCAACTGGCCCTTATCTAACATGAGGCAGCTTCTGGACTCTTCTCACAGAAGCCACCCCTGCAGCCCCCGACTACCAAAACCTTGCCACATAAACCCAATACAGAGGTCTGCACCTGTCTTTTCATCTCTCTCCTGAGAATGCTTTGTAAACTTAGATTATTTTTTTTCCAAATTCTCAATGTCAAGTAACTCCCCTTCTATGTGGACTGCGCTTGTTCTAAAGCCAAGACATTCAGGGAAAGTATTAATAAGACTGTTGCTAACATGAATCCACGAAGAGTTCCTCCATTCGCTCAGTTTACCATGTGGTTCATCTTTTTGTGCGATCCATATCATTTTTCTTTGGACAGTTCGTTATCCATATTATAGTTATTACACTAATTCACATCTTCTCCATCTTGGAATTTCTCATGTGATACTGAAACAAATTCTTCAGCATCACCAAGGGTTATTTGATGAAATATATTACCTCTGATCTAAGTAGTGGGCTATCTTATTCAAGAACTAAGGGTTAGTAAATCACTTTGTATTTTTGTCTGCTTTGTATTTCAGTTATTTTCAACATAAGTCTTAAATGTATGTAGCAAAGATGTTCATTTTTACACACATTTAATATTCATTTCTGGTTTTTAAACATGTAAGAACATAAAAAAAATAATATGTACAACTTTTTTATTTTTTTTGGGGGCGGAGGGTATGATGTAAAAACAAGCACGCCACAGGGAGGGACAGTGTCATCCAAAATTGACAGGCATTTATTTATTTATTTAGCAACATTTGGAGAGGAAAAAAAATAAACCCTTGTGTGTTGCAAGAGGGTTAGGGGAAGTGACTGCTGAAATCACTCACAGTATAAATGGTTTGCAAGGTCAGTCCCTGAAGTCACTCAGTGAGTGAAATAGGAGTGCATAAAGTAATCAAAAAAAGTTGGCTACAGTACTAAATGCTTTTTCTGAGTCACTAGAATGTCATTCCTGGGCTATACAGCTCTCCTCCTATGTTGGGTGTATTGTACTGCAGAAAGAGGTAAGCTTTAATATGAAAAAGAAAATGCTTAAAGTGTGTAGGAAGATTGTTGCTAAAACAATTTGTAAATAAAATGTTCAAATTGAAGCCTATTTTAATGAAGTTCTGTCAACAGTAATTGAGATTTCTTCTGGTAATATTTAACACAGGATTCAGTATCTTGTCATGAGTATTATTTCACCTATTTATTGGATAACTACTGCTGTTACTAAACTGTTGCACATTTTTTTAAATGGTTATCATCTCTATAAACTACAAACAGACAAATCATTTGTTATTTGTTATATTTTTAATTATTATAACATCTAAAACTTGTAAATAGCTGGCAGATTAAAATAGAGAATATTCAATTAATGTGTATTTTTTTCTATGAGATAATCTGAGAAAAATAAATGTTTAGTGACTGACTTAGCATACAAAATAGCTGTTGAATGACAGCTTGTTCTGTGGTATTTTCATCAATTAAATGAGATAAATATATACAGATATGCTTTTGTATATATTTAAAGAAGTAGCTAGTATTCTGGGTGTTTTTCCAGAAGGCTCTACTGATGTTTTCTGCTCCACTGTTAAATTTATTTTCCTTGATATTGTGTTTATGTTGTTTAGTGCCCATTTAATTATTTAATTGCTTTGCTTTCTGTATGGGTTTTTAGTTTTTGTTTTGTTTTGGGGGAGGGGGTTTGTTTGTTTTCTTAAACTGTTGGAGAAAGGGCACTGCCTGTTTTGGAGCTAATGTGTCTGTGCTCAGTTCAGGTTGTTTTAATTTTAGGTGAAGATTATGAATACCTTATTAATCAAAGCAATCTGATAGATTTTACTTTTTTTTTTTAAGTGAAAAATATTGATATTAATTAATTGTACCATCTTTTTTTTATATGTACTTACAGTAAATGCTGCTTCAATGCAACTACTAATCATTAATTTGTTTTCAAAGTAGTCTAGAAAGGTCCTGGAATTTGAAAAGAGAGTTTGCCTGAATTTGTGTTTTCTTTTCACAATGCTTTCTTTAGATTAAAGAGATAGCAAAGGAATGCAAATGTAGCAATATTTGATCCATCTGGGACAACTACTACCATGGGCCCTGCTGGATTCTTAGTTCAAGCTTCATGTTGGAAGTCTGTGTGAGTTGTTTGAGAGCTAGGTTGTTGCACAAGTGCTGAAATATACTTCTACTTAAATTCATAGTTTGTGCTTAGCTTTCAGGAAATTGCTATTGGCATTATGGTGAGAAAGCAGTTTGAGCTATTTCTAACCAAGTCGCATATATGTACTAAATCATTAATTCCAGCTGTCCACAAAAGGATTTGAAGCATTTAAGCCGTGCTTTATAATATAAAAATGCAAAAAATCTCAATTTTACTAGGTACCCAGATCAAAGTACATAATACAATTAATATAGTTTTGAAGTACATTCTGTAAGCAGAGTTATTTTTCTCAAACTACTAAGAAACTGCATTTAAAAAAAAAAAAAGAGAGAGAGAATAATTAACTGTAGTCTGAAATACATACACATACGGCGGCGCTTCAGAGTAACGCTTGCCATGGCATAGTCTGACATCAGAGCAGTAGTGGTGAAGAACAATCAGAGAGCTGAAATTAAATCCAGAAGCAAATATGTCTTAGTAATGGTGAAGAGACTTAAGAGTCCATAGTCTGCACAAGGGTCAATAAAAGTGTAACAACTCAGATGTAAGGGGTGAGTACATCAGAGAAGCTCTCCCTCTACTGAATAGCCTGTGGCTTTCCAGCCACCACCCTAGTGCACTGTTGCAGATTTCCATCATTGCAGAAGCCAATTCAGTCTGGACATCCAACATTGCTCTGTATTACCATCAACTTAAGCTTTACTTACTTGCTGCCATATGAAAATTTTTTAGCAGTTTGGAGAAATCATAGCATACTCAATGTCAATCTCACTGAAATTTAATAGACCAAGGCACACTATGTCATGATAAACACGTGTGTTTTTCTGTTTGTTTTGTTTGTTTGTTTTTTGAGGTGGGGGATTCTTTAAGCAATTTACTCATATGTACAATAGAAATATTTTGTATTAAAATGTGAATGTGTCTTAAATGTGTCTTAATGAATTTTGTTAATAAAAGTGAGTCTCTACTCTCTCTTTTGATAGTAGGGTAATAATACCCTCTGGTGGACAGAGCAATCTTATATACTCAAGATAGAACAATTGGTTAGAAGGAACATACTTGTTATTAGAATAGCTAAAATAGTTGGAAAAAATGTGAACTTCTGAGCAAACTGAAACTCTTCCTTTATCACTTCAGCAGTATCCTCAAATCTTGTCTACCTTTCCTGGGTATTTAAGCCAGTCAAAAGAAAGTTATTAGATCTCACAATGAGCATTATTTTCTTCATACTTTCAAAATATCATAGCTACAGGATACTTAAAATTATACTTAATTATACTTTTTTTTTTTCCCCAAAGTTTTAAAGAATTTTCCAAAAATTTGCCTGATTTGGTTGGCATTTCACAAACTGAATTGGAAACAGTGAATGTTCAGGGGTATGTCTTACCTAAAGTAAAATTCACTTTGCACACTTTGGTAAGGAAGAGTAAGGATTTATTTTGCTCACTTTGGATTAGAAATCCAGTTTAGTTCAGCAAGCTATAACCCTACATCCCTTGCATGAGGAAAGATACTAAATATTTTTGCTGTAGATCCACTTTCACAGCACTTAGACATGTAGGAAAGTACCAGTGACAGTACTGATGGTTTTTCAAACCTTTGGCCTGACAACTAAACTGGTGAGAGGATTTTGGTGCCAGCTCTGTACTGAGTAATGAATCTTACTCACCAAGAAATATCTTTGCCTAGTGAACATTTATTCTCCCATTTATTTTCTACATGGAAGTTTCATTTCTTTTCTAAGGCTTAATTTCTCAGAGATTGCTTTATTTTTTCTTGATGAATTCTCACCTTTGACGTTCAGATATAAAACAGACTACTTGTATCTAATCAACTAGACTGTCTAGACTCTGTTCTATGGGTAAAGTTTCAGCCTTTAAAATAAGTACATTTCAGGTCTCCTGCCTCTCGACACCCCCTTACGAGGAAGTTGTAGACTGCGATGAGGTCTCTTCTCCAGGCTGAACAGGCCCAGTGCCCTCAGCCGTTCCTCGTACGTCTTCCCCTCCAGGCCTTTCACCATCTTCGTAGCCCTCCTCTGGACACTCTCCAACAGTTTCATGTCCTTTTTATACTGTGGTGCCCAGAACTGCACACAGTACTCGAGGTGAGGCCGCACCAGCGCAGAGTAGAGCGGGACAATCACCTCCCTCGACCTACTAGCGATGCCGTGCTTGATGCACCCCAGGACACGGTTGGCCCTCCTGGCTGCCAGGGCACACTGCCGGCTCATATTCAACTTGCTGTCTACCACGACCCCCAGATCCCTCTCTTCTAGGCTGCTCTCCAGCGTCTCATCGCCCAGTCTGTACGTGCAGCCAGGGTTTCCCCGTCCCAGGTGCAGGACGCGGCACTTGCTCTTATTGAACTTCATGCGGTTGGCGATCGCCCAGCCAGTCACTCAGGCATAGAGAATTAGTCACTGAAATCAGGTCAATGATTATGAACAAATAAAACATTTGTTAACCTTCTTAACATTAGATTGTTGTCTTTCTTAACATCTTCCCAGCATTTGTTTCTTTCCCCTTCAGTCTGACTATTCCTATTCTCAAACTGTTGAGAATCTTCTATTAAGAAGTTCAGAAATTTCTATTAAGACGTTGAGAAACGGTTGAGAAACTGCTATTACCCTAATTCAGGTTCATTTTTTAAAATTTATATTGGCTGTAAATTTCTTCAACACTGAAGAAGGCCCAGTAAGGAACTTTTGGGGAAGACTGTATGATATTGAGCTAATGAGAAATATCAGACAGCCATCACCCCCCAAATTGAGTCAAAATGCTTTGAAGCTTACAAAGGCCAAAGTGAATACCCAGAATTGATTACATCATGTAACATGTCATAAGAAGGAATCTCATGGACAGGGGGAAATGTTTTGGAATATCGGATAACTTTAGCCTGACAGAAATTTTAGGGAATGTGAAGGCAAAGGGAGATTTGACTGAACTTGATCAAGTGGCACATGAGTTAATGTCAGTAAGGATGGCGGTGGCACCTGGAGAAAATAACTGGAAAGGAAATCTACAGAGTGTACCAAGTTGTTCTCTGTGGCAACGAAAGGACTGCTCCCCCATCAGCTCCCTCTGATGGAAGGGTAAGAGATGTTTGTGTTTTGAGCTGGGGCACTAATATCTGGTCCCAGTCTTTGCAACTAAAATATATCAATGAACTATGACTGTACAGTACGTAGTTTTTGTCCCTACAACATATGGATTCTTGGCAGTGACTCTTTATACTGATTAAGTAGAAAAGATATGCTCATTTAATTACAAATGTTACCAGGATTTCTTGCTACATTTCTATTGTAAAAATATTTTGGAGTTTGTAGCATGTTCCTCAGTCACCAATATTTTTATTTATAATTTTTAGCTTGTGAACAATCTCCTCCTAGGAGAGTTAAAGAAGTGCCTACTGAAGCATGGAACAACCCCCCCTATCAACATGGTACTCAAGTAACATACAGGTGTCGGCCTGGATATATAAAATATGGACGAATTTTGTTTGAGTGTGATGATGGAGAATGGAAGCAACGCCGCCCACTGACAGAATGCAGAAGTAAGTATTTATGCAAAACACATACAAACATTTGACCTGGCGTGTCACATACCTTACCAACAAAGTTAATGTGAAATTTCAATAGCACCTTTTCCTGTACATTATTTATTTCAGCATCCTTTGAAATATCATCTTAAAAGGCATTTAGGCAAAAGGAAACATTTGGGGTATTTCCTTTTCTCTAGGTCAAAGGATTTTTATTTTTTTTGCTTTACGGAAGATTTATGCTAGGCCAGCCTTACCAACCCAATCTGTGTATCTGCTATCAGAATAGAAATTCCTTTTAAGAATATCCAAGACACTTTTAATTCTAGCACCATTCTATGTATGTCTGTGCAGCTGTGTTTCTGGTTTTGGTTAAGTGATACAATTACAGTATATCTAGGACACAAGCTAAGGTACCGCAACAAAGAGGTCCATTAAACAGTTGATATAGACCTTTCTGCATTTAAATTAAATAAAAATAACAAGTCATTGTACGTTGCCTATAAATGGCAGGCTATGGAAGAATTGTATTTTAGCATGTTAAAAAAAAAAAATCTGTTATTTTTTTCTGGCATCTTACAGTCAGAATTTTATCTTTCCTGTGCTAAATTGTGTTAATTACGTCTTATTTTTACATGTGTTTATATAAGTACTTAGTGCACACAAGTCTTTTCAATTATACAAAAATTGCTGTAGCTTTTTAGTTACATATTTTAGGAAATACTGCCACCAAGTGAACAGATGCTGATACTGGCAAGGTGTGGGTGGAAGGTAAAAAGTGGTGGTTTGGCACAGATTAGGTGATAACATCCCCTTTCTAAGAGAGGCCACACTAAACAGTGAAATTGGTCATGGGGTTGTCCATTTCCTCTGTGTCACACTGGAGAAAGTCTAGGGCCTACTCAAGCACCTCTTCCTTGGAAAAAACAAGGATGTTGATATGATCCAAGAAATGAAAATGCCTAGTTTGACAGGGACCATGAAGGATTTCTTCTGAGGCCTAATAAAGTTTAGCCATGTAGTTTATTTAACAGTCCTTTGAGCAGAAAGGGCTGAGGACCACAGGACTCCTGTGGCCTCATCTAATCTCTCTTTACTCAACACAATCCCCATCAGGTTGAGGAAATTTCATTTCCAGTCATGGATTGCTTCTGTGGTGGAAGATTTGGACCAGTTTATGTCAGAAAGTATATGAAAAACTGAAATTACATCCTGCCATTAAATGTATCATAAAACTTAAGATGAGATCTGCTGTTTTTTTAAAGGAATGAAAGCTCCTAATTTGTTGTTTACTTTAAAAATAAATAAATAAAACCAATTCTCACTCTAATATGTTCTCATTGAAAACAGTGATTCATTAAAGGAGGTTAACTGAGCTAAAGCTGAGTATTTTTGAACATATACTCTGCATGAAATACACTCTACTAATTAATACAAAATCACTGTCTTTCAAATTTTGACTCTATGTATGGTGTAAGCACTTTTTTTTCTTTCTCTTTCTTACCAGATAAGCCCTGTGGACATCCCGGAGATACTGAGTTTGGTTCCTTTCAACTTACCAGTGGAAATGAGTTTGTCTTTGGTGCTAGAGTGGAGTACAGATGTAATGATGGGTAATATTATTTAATTCAGTATATGGGACTTAATTTAAGGTTTTAATGATAAGAGAAGTGTCAGTAATAGATTTGTTATCTGTAAAGCAGCTGCAATTTACTAATATTTAAGAACATTTAGTTAATGTTTAATTTAAAATAATGAGATTACAGTAATACTAAACATAACTGTTTCTCATGTTTGGTGGTATTGAATTAACTGTACTTCACACACATGAAGCTGCAATCCAGAGTGTCTGAAACAAATAAGGTTGTAGCTCATTTGAAATCATGGTTGTCCAAGTAGAAAGCAAAACTAATGGTCTGCATGTAAAGCTGCCTCATGACTTGACCAGCTAGCTGATGAAAACACAACTGCTCATGCTGGAATCTTTGCTCTCAGCAGGCAGTCACTATGCAGTTATCTGGAGAAGTCATTAGGCAGTACAATGGAATCACCTATTCAGAACCGCAACCGTTAAGTGCTGCTTAAATCGTTTCTGAGAGTTATGAAACAAAATGCTTTGTAAAAAATGTCTGAAGGAAGAAATTTTTGTTGGACTGGATAACATCTCTTCACTTACTGCTTGGAAGAAATTCTCTCTTCTCCCTCTATTCATCTTCTCCAATGAAAACTGTAGCAAGACAAATATATAGTATTGTGCTTAAGTAAACATGCTTATAACAACATTCTGTCCTCATGAAATGCAAATCAGCCGTAAACACAATACAGTGGTTTAGCCATGCTTTTGCACACTTTGAGCTGCTGAAATGTATTATTGAATCTAGTCTAGTACAAATATGAGTTGCAAAATCAATATTCCTCTTAATTCCTTAAATGCAGACAGTTCTTTTGTCATTTCAGACTAACTGTAATCCCTCTTGGAGCTCATTCCAGACTAAGCAGAAGCAATGTTGTTGTGGCTATGACACCCTCAAACCTAAGAGAATTCTAACTCAGCAAAGCATGGAATACGTATGGCTGTCCCATGGCTTTCACTCATACTGGAGCATAGACAGCATGAGATTTACTCTGCTAGCTAATGATTGTGTATATCACCCTTAGGTCATTTATTTTCTAGGCAAAGCTTGGTGTATCTATAATGAAGAATATACCTTACTAATTACTTCCTACTTTATGATTTTTTTCTTTTTGGTTTTATATTTTTGCCATATGCAAGTAAAAGAAACAAAATAGGGGAGACAAGCAGAAAAATACTGTTTTCTTTTGTTATCTTTTGGTTAGTCTGTAATTGAATATCTGAAACCTACTTCCTGTGCTTCAAAAACAGCAGCACTGCTGTTTCTGTCATGAGAATGTAATTTATTGTTTACTTTTTTTCTTGTAAGATACCAGATGCTTAGCCAAAAAAATTACCGTGAGTGCCTGGCAGATGGATGGAGCAATGATATCCCTCACTGTGAAGGTAAATGGAGTTTGACGTTTAATTCTTTATCAAAGTTATTTTTTTTTTTTATCTGTCTGATACTATCTAGAACTTGCCTGTGATCTTGCTACTCTCTGTGAGGCTACTTTTGTCTATTGTGACTATATTATGACTTCTCATGGTGTTAATAACATCTCAACTATATTCACTGATTAAACCTCTAGTATTAATTCACATAGATATATAAATGTCTAAACTCAAGTTATACAATAGTGAAACTCTTACAATGCCTGCTCAGACATTTTAATCCAATAAACACTCAAGCTTTTATCAAAAAGCACTCTCAAAACTAAGTCTTGTCACCCGCAGACAGGCTTAAAGCTTTGCTTTACATAAAGACCCCAAATGTGTAGGTATCTGTGAAACACAGTTATAAAGACAGTTGGGATAAGACATTTCACAGGTATGTGAAAGTCTGTTGTTTGTAGCTTGTTTCCTTTTCTGCCATTGTGAATATCTTAGCTATTAAGGTTTTATTTACAGTTCTTTTCCCTATTAGCATACAGTGGAACAATCTTAGTAGGAGAGAATGAGAACAAAAGACAGCCAGTCCCCAGAACCAAATAAACTGGACAGTTTAGATACTTCCCTGAATTTGGAAACCTTTTTATCAGTTTCAAACCTGTGTGATTATAAAAATTTCCTTTATTAAAAAGTTTCCTTTCTTCCCAAACATAATTACTTTTAAAAGTTAAAAATTTGTAATGTTAGATTTATTTATTTATATTTATTAAGATTTCCTAATAGCTGTTCTCGGGTATTCCATCTTCAATTGACTGAATTTTGAGTGTCCTCAATTTTAGGCATACAGCTTGTTCCCTGCACAATGCAGAGCAATGTTTTCCAACATTTTTTTTTTTGTCACATCAATAAGATACTGCAGTTTCAAAGTCCTTATATAATTTTCCTTTCATGCCTGAGGAGTTTTCATTAGGTTGAAATGTCTGTTATAAATGGCATCAGAATACCTAGCAAGTTTATATATATTTTAAAATGTTTAAGGTAATTTCAGTGGTTTATCTGTATTGTAAGTTTTGTGCATCAATATATTTCAGAGAATAGCCAACAAAATAGCTATCTTTTTGCTTTTGTTTTGTTTTGCTTTACTTTATTTTGTTTTCCAGTGGCAAAATGCTTACCTGTAAAAGCACCAGAAAATGGAAGAATAGTTATGACTGGTGCATTTGAGCTAAACCAAGAATATTCCTTTGGCCAGGTTGTAGAGTTTGAATGTAATAAAAAATACAGGCTTGTTGGATCTAAAGAAATACATTGCTCTTCTGATGGAAGATGGGATAGCGATGTACCTCAGTGCCAAGGTAAACGGAACACTATTATCTACAATAAGCTTTATTCTCACATACTTCTAGGGACTGGTTACCACCTAGGACACTACAAAGCTTTCACTTTATTGCACAGCAATTAAGCATAGCTTGTCTGTGAACAATGTCTATTACATATTTGCAAAAGTCAGATTAGAAAGAGAAATCAGAGAATATTGTATGATAACAGTCAAAATGGACCACCTGTTTGTTCTGCATTTTCACTACAAGCTAAATGGTTTGCCAGGCTGCACTCAATTCTTTGAAACTAGATTCAGTACCTACATAAGATTCAATCACTTCAGTGTTTATTTAACCAAAGTAATGATATATTATTTTGAATCTATATGAACCTAGTTTAAAAAATAAGTATGATTCTAATTCATTCATGTTCGTAAGCTACATAAAATGCAAAGAAATCATGATGGATTTTTCTTTCTTCAAACTACTTACTGTGTTTTGACAAGTTAGAAGGTTAAATCATGTTCAGTTTCTACAGAATCACAGAATAGGTGAGGTCCCTCAAAATGGAGTCAGCTAGGGCAAATTGCTCAGGATCATGTCCAGTAGGCTTTTGAACATCCACAAAGATGAAGACTTCACAGTGTCTCTGGGCAACCCAGTCCATTGTTTGACCACCCTCAAGTAAAAATTATTTTCGTATTTTAAGTGGTATTTTCTGTACCTCTGTGTGCCTGTGGCTTCTCATCTTGTCACTTCCTGCCAGTGAGAAGGCATGGTTCCATCATCTTTACTTCCACGTCACCAATCACAGTCAGAAATTTATATAGAATAGAGTAGAATAGTTTAGTTGGAAGGGACCTACAAGGATCATCAAGTCTAACTGCCTGTCCACTTCAGGGCTAAACAAAAGTTTAAGCATATTTTTAAGGGCATCATCCAAATGCACCTTTCCTATCAATGTCCAAGAGGCATCAACCACTCACTAGGAAGTCTGTTCTGGTGTTTGACTGCTCTCACAGTAAAGAAGTTTTTCGTAATATCCAGTCTGAACCTCCCCAGCACAGCTTTGTGCATTCCCATGCAATTAATAAGATCCCCAATAAACCTTCTCTTCTGTAGACTCCCTAAATCTCTCTTTATCTGTCAGTTCCTTTAATTATCTTTGTGACTTTCACTAGACCTGCTCCAAAATGTCCATCTCTTTCTTGTTTTCGGGAGCTCAGACCTGGACATAGTGCTCCAGATGTGGTCTTACCAGTGCTGAGTAGAGAGCAAAGACCACATCTTTGGACCTGCTGAGAACGCTTGTCTAAATGCAGCCCAGGATACTGGCTCCTGTTCAACTTGTTGTCCTCTAGGACTGTGAAGTCTTTTTCTATGAAGCTGCTTTTCAGTCAGTTGGCCCCCAGCTTGTCATGGTGAATGGTGTTATTCCTCCCATTTTCCAAACTAGAATTGTATGGGATTGTCTTGTCAGTACATAATGAACCACAGGAAGTAACAATCTCTGTCAAATATTTGGTCCAACAAGTTTCTTAGATTATTTATATGTTACCTCATATGGAAGTATATGTTCATAAGACCAGGTGTGTTTGTTAGGATGTCAGATACATGTATGGTCTGTTCACAATGTCAGAGTTAAATTTTGCCACTTTGAAACACCCATTTATTTCAATTTGAACAACGTAAATGGTATTAAACACAAGTCCTTGCACCATTCGTAGAATATAGTGAATTTTATTAAACAAAGACATCTATGATGAAATATATTTCAGGGTAAGTATAAAATACATCCAGCAGACAAATCCAGGATAACCTTTTGGTGTCCTTCTCTATAGCCTAGGAAACAAAGCCATGAATATTATCTGACTTCAGGAATTCAGATTTTGGAAACTGCAAGATCTCAGTAGTTTTACTGGTTTGTCAAGGAGCTGGAGATGCTGGGGTTCTTTTATAGATAGCTAGGTATTCTAATGTCAATTTGCCAGATTGTTTATTGCTTTTTTTTTCTGTTGATGCTATAATTTTGCTAATCATCTACTGAACATGAGAGAGCTTCAAGCTTTCCTTACAAGAAAATGAAATTATCTGAAAAATGAAAAAATCATAAATTTCAGCTAGCCTAGTTGCTTATTTTAGAATGTCCCATACTGTATCTGCTCGAGGGTAGGAAGGCTCTGAAGGAGGATCTGGATAGGCTGGACCAATGAGCTGAAGTCAACTGTATGAAGTTCAACAAGGCCAAGTGCTGCATCCTGTACCTGGGGCACCAATAACCCCAAGCAGAGATGCAGGCTGGGAGATGAGTGGTTGGAGAGCTGCCAGGCAGAGGACCTGGGAGTGATGGTTGATAGTCAGCTGAATATGAGCCGGCAGTGTGTTCAGGTGGCCAAGAAGGCCAACAGCATCCTGGCTTGTATAAGAAACAGTGTGGACAGCAGGGCTAGGGAAGTGATTGGCCCCCTGTACTCAGCTCTGGCGAGGCCGCACCTTGAGTACTATGTTCAGTTTTGGGCCCCTTGCTATGAGAAGGACATCGAGGTGCTCGAGCGAGTCCAGAGAAGGGTGACAAAGCTGGCGAGGGGTCTGGAGAACAAGTCTTACGAGGAGCGGCTGAGGGAGCTGGGCTTGTTCAGCCTGGAGAAGAGGAGGCTCAGGGGCAACCTTATCGCTCTTAATACGTACATTAAAGGAGGCTGTAGTGAGGTGGGGGTTGGTCTATTCTCCCACATGCATGGTGACAGGACGAGGGGGAACAGGCTAAAGTTGCACCAGGGGTGTTTTAGGTTGAATATTAGGAAGAACTACTTTACTGAGAGGGTTGTTAGGCATTGGAATGGGCTGTCCAGGGAAGTGGTGGAGTCACCATCCCTGGAGGTCTTTAAAAGACGTTTAGATGTTGAACTTAGTGATATGGTTTAGTGGAGGACTTGTTAGTGTTAGGTCTGAGGTTGGACTCGATGATCTTGAGGTCTCTTCCAACCTAGACAATTCTGCAATTCTGTATATACTGATTCTGAAAGCCATTAAAAACAAAGCATAGCCCTGAAAGCTGTCTTTTGACTCAGTTTAATACTGTAGCTGTACTACACTGTACTTTATACTTGACACCTACAGTCGGGTCATTGAAGAGATCTCAAATAAGTTCCAAATGGTTTCCAAATGAAAGCACTTATGAGGACAAAATTTCTGTGAAGTTACGTGGGAAATATATGTGTATATATATATATTTTCCAATAAACATTTATTTTTGGCAAATAAAAGTTGATAAACATATATGCGTTTTGTCTTTCTCAACTTCAGATATTATCTGTAATGTACCAGCAATTCCTCATGGATTTGTGCGTAATTCAAAGTCATCTTACAAGGAGTCTGAACAACTACAGTTTGGTTGTGAAGAAGGATACACATTTGGTGAAAGAGCAGATGCACTGTGTACTGAATCTGGATGGCATCCAACCCCCTACTGCACTGGTTTGCCTTTTCCTAAAGTTATTTTAGACACGGGTTGTATTTGGAAGTAATTTCAGTATTATCATAATCATTATCATTAGTTTGTTGATTTAAAAAAAATAATCATCATCATCCACGTCTTGCCAATACACCATGAAAATCGTGACAACACAACTGAATATGAGTTTTCCATGAGAGGCCACAGCAAAAAATGGTTAATTCAGCCTTTCTTGAGTATATACTCAAGCATATACTTGAGTATAGTTGGATGGGCCTATGAAGATAGAATTGCTCACATGTACTGCATAAATGAGATGGATGATGAAATACTTTAGCATTAGAAGCTGCTTAATTTTGTCCTGTTCCTTTTTTATTCTGTGGCTCTGAATTAGTGGGGATAACATACCAAAAATACTCTTGGTTTATAAATCCTTCCTATTCAAATTAAGCTGAATCTCTTTACCTTCTACAAAATATGGTGAATATGCTTTAGTGAAGGGATGGAAAAAAATCAGACACTAAAAAGAGTATTGAAGCAAGCAGAAAAAAAAAAAACACTAATACTGGAGAAATTAAAACTATAGAAAGAATCTGAAATTTTTAATGGCACAGAAAAATTAACATTTGAAACCAACTTAGAGAAGTGATATGGTTTCTGAAGTCCTATTGTCTTCAAATCAAGACGTGATACTTTTTAAAGTGAAATTCAAGTATACTGCTTTTCACTTGAATATAAGTGGTGAAAGTCAGTGGCTGTTCTGAAAATAAAAAGAGAGGGTTAAATGCTGGATACCATATGAATTGCAGCAGTATGGATAAAACTGGCTCTCAGCTTGATGACCTACTTGCTTATGAATCACAAGCAGTTCTTTGAGGTGGAGCTACAAATTTATGCATCTTCAAGTCTTCCACGTTCAGTAGCTGAGATGCTGTGGCACCGTAGCCACCACTCTGCTACTTGTAATTTTAAGAGAGTAAAATGCCACTCAGCATCTCACCCTGTATGAACCTGTGAAACAACAGAAGGCTTGAAGACGATAGAATAGTAGGTTTTCCTGACCTACTGAACTGATTTCTGCATTTTTCTTGAGTGCTCCTGAGTCTCACCATAGTTTGAGTAGACTGAGCACCTGTTTGCTCATCGTTACATTAGCTTTTGAAATTTCTGAGCTACTAGTTCAGAGAAACTAGTTCCAATGAAAGAGGAACAATTCAAAAATGGTCTCTGTTTCACTGATAGACCTTCAGTAAGAAATTGTTAGTGTTCTGTGCACCTTTTTAAAAAAATGAGTGGAAATTACAAGAAGTACTTTTCAAAATACCTTTCAAATTTAAATCCTCACTTAAGGTCAAGAAATAGTAAGACAGGGTTGTAGGAAGAACAGTCTGATGTGGTTATGGCCATTTCCATAGGAATAAGAGCAAATTTGAGGTAGTCCAGTCTCAGAAGGGTAAGTTGTCCATTGATGGCCACGAGTGTCTAGGCTGAAAAATACAGTGGAATTGTAGTGTTGCAATATACACAAAGCTAGCTGAAATGTGCTCTCTACACAGACATTATGTCACCAATTAGGTACAGTATGTCTGAAATTCACTAACCTAAAGAACCAATCTGGCCCTGAAGTGATGTATAAGCAGAGACTAAAGTAGCATGGTCTGCGTGAATCCTGCCACTGTCCATGACTCTTAGCCTACGATGAAGACAGCAGTTTGTTTAATATTACCAGAACTGTAATTGTGCCACCACATTATTCATGATGTTCAGACTTCCCATCAGAAATTGTCCAAGGATCTCTACAAATTCATATATTTACAGTGATGAAACTCCCTTATGCTTTCTAACTCCCAAACACCTTCTGTGCAGTTCAGATGACAAATCCATGATATCTGACGTCAGTCCTGTTGGACATCTGCACTCTGGGTCACTGATTTTGATTTAGTTTCACTCAGCTACAGTACATAAAGACTTCTGTTAGAACTCCAAATCCCACAAGCAGACATATGCGCATGATGTCCTAGCTGGAATAATTTGATATACATTTTGGAGAAATCTTTATACTGTATCAAATCATCTTCAAGAAATTGCCAAAGAATGCTTGAAACTGGAAAAAAAATGTTTGCAAAAGGGCATTGTTACAGGATGTTATGTGCCACCCACCTTCCTGGGACCTCTTCCAGAAAGACTCCTTTAGAAATAAAGAGTAGTCAGTCCTAATGCCCACTCAGTCCTTGAACTTTCTGCTTCAAGATTAGTAATGATACTAATCAATATGCATTGCCTATGGTTTAGCAGCATACTGCTTTTGAGAATTGACAAACTTCTTCCAGACATGGATATACTGGGCTCTGATACTTGGGCTGTCTGCAATTATAAATCCTCTCCAAGGTCATTCTATAGTAGGAAAATATAAAATAATTTCTGTCCTGCTTTATTCCTGTAGCTTTATGCTACCATGAAGTTGTTCTAGATCTTATTTGACTTACCAGGAGCCTAGATGACTAAGCAGCACACGTATGCAGTTGATTCATCCACCTTCACTCCACAGGAGGACCAACTTGTGGTGACTGTATAATCATCCCCACCCAGCCCTGAGTGTGCTGGTGTGATTTTCTGAATTGCAAGTAAAAAAAAAAAAATTAAAAAAAATGGCTCCACTTTATAAAGAATGTGTTTGCCTCACTCCCTAAGAAACCTCTATTTGAAAGTTATTTTATGCAATAATTTTGGTCAATAGACTGTGAAGATAAAAACTTCTGCAATTAATATAAAGGCATTCTTCAAATTAGCACCGCATTTTTCTCTTTCCATTTAGAAATTCTATGCTCTCCTCCAAGAGTTCCCAATGGGAACTTTAGACCTCAAGAAGACAGCTACAGAGAAGGGGCTACGATCACAATAGACTGTAATCCTGGATATCATTTGAGAACACTGTCTGGCAAAAATACAGCTCGATGCACCAGCAGAGGCTGGGTGCCTGCTCCAGATTGTGTTGGTAAGTAGCTCTTGTGAGTGAAGGCACAATATACACAATTGTTATTTTGGAAATATCTCAAGAGAAAAACCTCAGCACCATAGGAAATAAAAAATGCTTATTCGTTGTATTTCCTGGTGTTATAAAACTTAATGTGAATGGCTTGGAAAAAAACATCAAACAGCTAAGAAGCAAGGGTATAATGTAAATGTACATTATGTTTATAAACACGGGCATTATCTGTTACTATATTTGTGAAATTATATATTAAAGTCTGCAATAGTCAGCTCCCTGACAGGAAGGTTTGTGGTCCAACTGAGGACTAGCATGCCAGTCAAGATAAGAGGACACAGTGAGTGTTGAAATATCCAAACCAATGCGTAGGTGATGGTTGGAAGGTATTTTTCATCATGTTAACCAGAACCTTAGATTTTTGCTTGCAGTTTTGTGTTGATATGTTATGAACAATTGCAGCTTTATTATACTCTGTCAAATGGCAAAACAAAATACTCTTGATTGATTGGTAATGAGTTCTTTCTTGGCTTAAACTTCCATTAATTACAATTATAGTTTTTCCCATTACATGTATGTGCAGTAGAAAAACAAAAGTCAGCGATTTCATTATTTATTGGTCTTTGATCTTTGATTACTGAAAATGAAAGAAAAGCATCCAAAACAGAAGCAGGTGAAAGAAACCCTGACAAAATCAGTCTTGTGAATGAACCTTTGGGTAAAATTATTTGATCTATCCAAGAAAAGTACATTGTTAACAAGTGGATTAAGCATTTATCGATTTGTAGATTCTGAAATTGAGGAATCTTTTGGAGACCACCTCTCTCATTATTAAATGGTCCGTTCAGTGACTGATCCCTCCTCCCCATCCTCCTCACCCCCAGCATGTGGGCTTTGGTTCAGGGCACGTCAGGAGGAACCTAGCTGCCTTGGCCAAGCAGGACACCCTGGGTAATCTTTGAGTGACAGCTGCTGCTAAGCCTGACTTGTTCCTGAAAAGCTCTTTTGAGGAACTGAGAAAACAAAAGAAATATCACTTATGTTTTAAAATGAAAAAGAGTAAAGCTAGAAAGAGCTTTTGGTGTAAGATCTCAGAAGTGACAAATAAAAATGGTGACAGCTGTTACAACAATTGCTAGACTCTGCACTTTAGTGTCTAGATCTGAGCTAGCTGCCTAGGTTCCCATCAGTGTCAGTATAGTACACTTAGCTGAGACCCTGTGAAGAAACTGTGTTATCTCACCATATAATTAATACTTACATTTGGTTGCATGAATCAGCCTCTAGTGTCCACTAAGAAGATGGACTGGATTTTTGTTGATTGCAATGAAAACAGGCAACCAGCATAGCTGTAGACATCGATCGAACACAGCATAGTTGATCCTGCACTCCTTGAGATCTGCCAAGGTGTGCAGTTCTGATTCTGTCAGTTCCAGGAAACACTCAAATAATGAAGTGGTATCTGAATTAGTATTTAGGATTTTTTGTGTGCTGAGCTTTTTGCCATGCATGTGTTGATACTGTTGCTGTTAAATTCTATTTCAAGAGAAACCCTGTGACTACCCAGTGATAGAAAATGGCAAGATAAGTGAAAGAATGGCACACTCTTACTTTCCAAAGAGGATTGGACAGTATGTTGATTACTACTGTCATAATGGCTACTTAGCCCCAAATGGAGAAAGAGTCGTTCGAATTTACTGTTCGAAAGGGGGCTGGAATCCAGAGCCAAAATGCCTCAGTAAGTGCACTTCTACTATATGCTCAGTTTTGTTATGATTATTGATGATCCGTGCAGCAGAAATGGTGCTGGTGGAATGCAAGTAGCAGCAACGTACCGTTTGTTAAAGTATAACTGGTTGAGTTGAACCCTGGAACTTCCCCCAGACTGTTATCCTGTCTGCAGAGCTCAGCCACTTGGTAAGTGACACTCTGAAATGAGCAAGGCTGAAATGATAAATCTGGATTTGGGATGTTCTTTACTCCTGCACCTATCCCCGAGATTAAAAAAAAATAAATAAGAGAAATAAGATTTAGGAAATGTTTTTCAGCTCTGGCTTCTCTGTCCCATGCATGTATCTGCTTTCACCTGCACATGCAGCAAGACATTCCAAGAACATCTTCTCTGTGTAAATGTATTATTCCTTCAGTGGCTTGGGCACTTTGTCTAGAGGTTGCTGTCTGGGATTCACTGCCCAGTCTTTTTGGATAACGTTTGGGACTGGCCAGGTGGCACACTCGCAATAAGCTGAGAGTGAGTATTGCTGCAGCAAGAGATCCAGATACACTGGCTTAATCTTTCAGCGATAGAAAATATTTAAACCAGCGAGCCGATGCCTTCTCTCGTAACCCCCATCTTCAGTCAGAGTACGGTTCCTACCTATTGATAGGACCTGAAAGATCAACAAAAGGTTGGTCTTTCTCCAGTTGCCCTGAGCGGAGTGGAGGTCAGTGCAGGGGAGAAGTGGAGTCCCGCCCAGAGGAAAGGAGCAGTTACTCCAATAACGGAGCCACAGCATTCCTTCATCCATCCGTAGGGCCAGCATGCTTAGCAGTTGGTAAAATCTCTACAGCTGGTTTGAGACGCATTTGCATAGAGATGGTAAAATCTCCTGAGGGGAAATGCCAAAAATTGTCTCAGCACAGACATCAACACGTGAGAGACTCAGCAGACCGTACCAGAGCTAGTGCTCATGACACTAGATGCAATGCAGTTAGCCAGCCTTGCTTATGAGCTATGGTAAGGACTAATGTTTACCAGATCACTTCTTACCGCATTATGGGGTCATTTGAACTCCCGTTCCTGTGATACATTAACCTCAGGGCAGTGAAAGAAAGCATACTTTAATTCAGAGTTGAGCATGGACATCTTTGGGGAATAGAGTGATAAAGAAAGGTGCTAGGAGGCCCCTTTTTTTGGTAACGGTCTTCCTAAGCAATATTGTACCTGAGTTTTTGCTGTTCAGATTACTGTGGTTAAATGTACTTACCTTTCTTCTTTAGAAACATGCTCTGTAACACACCTGGAAAACGGTTATTTCAGATATAATCATGATACTTACACGGAAGGTGAAAGAATTCAATATGCCTGCAACCCAGACTATCGTACTGAAAGTGCAGGTGGTGAAGTTACATGCACAAAGAATGGCTGGTCACCTTTCCCAAGATGTATCCGTAAGAGTGAGTGTGCTTATATTTTGTCACAATTTCTAGCTAAAAAACAATAAATCCATTGTCACATCACCCATGTTAATCCATCACTGCTGCTTGGGGTAACTCTAAGTCTAGGTGCTTTACAAGTGAAACACAGTGCCGTGATTCCCTCAGCTGTCTCATGCAGCTCTTGAGTCCCTGCGTGCCACTGAGGTCAGTAGCTATACAAACATGCAGAATGATGCCCTGTAAAATGGCCACAGCAGGCTCATTCAGTTCTCCTGGACTGTAAGCTCTGGGGTGGGAGTCAGACCCTCTTGGTCTTTGGTAGTGAAATTTTCTATAACCCAGCAGTGAAGTAATGTAATAAATACTAATCACTCCCTTTGAACAGCCTGTAATTTCTTCTCTCCTTAGAGCCTCCATCTATGCCACTTCATCCCCTTTTGCTTGCCTTCCAGCTGGTATTATACTGGAAGGAGGGAAGAACAGGAAGCTTCTCTCTCCTAATACCCTTTCCAGCTTTTGAACCTGACTTCCAGCAAGCCTAAAATTGCTATGATGTCACACCTAAACTTTAGATAACTTTATATCATGTCTAGATACTTTATATAATTGTTTTATATGGACAAAAGAAGTAATTCAACCTAACCTCCTTATTTTAGACTGTCAAAACATTTTCTAATGAAACAATTCCAGCATGAAAGAGACTCCTACCATAGAATGTTTTGGACAGCCACTTGCTGATATTTTCACATAGCAATGAGCAAGCAAAACAAAATTTGATAATTCTTAGTGTTAGCCAATAGTGAGCATCATGACTGTAAATACCAAAAATAAATATATAAATACCAGTTAGTAACACTGAGTTTTGACTTTTCACATTCTGGTTGTACCTGAGGAAGGGAGCTTAACACAGAAGCAGAAAATAATGTGCTCTTAAAATTGTTCTCAATCCTATTGCTGTTTTCATTTGTCCTCCATCTTCTGGGTATCATAAGTATGTAGTTTAGCAGCATTTTACTGGAAAGGAATTTTGTCTTTCAGAAACATGTCAGAGTATCGTGCTGGACAATGCTTCTTTCCCCTCGACAAGGGGTACGTTTGCCTTACAGGCGAAAGTCACCTATACGTGTCATGATGGCTTTGTAACTCCAGAAGGAAAAGACAGAGGAGAGACACGGTGTCAAGAGAATGGCTGGACTCCAACTCCAAAGTGCATCAGTGAGTAGTACAACTTCAGAGCTCCCTGTTGCAACCACTAGTACAAACAAGATGCCCTATGTACTCTGATTTTCTTCATCTATATTGGTAGAGGTTTCTTACAGAGCAGAGGGAGAGTCAAACAGAGGACTGAGCCTCCAGAGATGAACTTTTCTGGGGCTCCAAGAATTAAAGACAGAAAGCAAAATTGAAGTGAGTACGCAGGGAAAATATCTTCTGTCTTCTAGGTGAGCTATTTTTTTTCGAACCTCAGTGTTATGAAGTAGATGATCACTGCCCTCTCCAGTGATTTTAGCTGATACAATGTGCATATACCCAATCTTACTCCCAGTTTCTCCAATATTTTTGATAAGAGCAGGAGAACCTTTCACACTTGTGAAGGACAATTTATGAAGAAATGCCTGTGAGCCAAAGGATTATGTCAATAACTTTCTTTAAAAGTGACCAAATAAGAAACGTGATTCATTATTTGGAAAGATGTTATGACTGTGCATAAAAGATTAGGCTGTTCTTTCTGCCCTGGGGCTAGAAAGCACATTTTTGAAAAAGACCAGAGTGTTCTTTTCTGAGAAATACTTCCATACTGTTGTTGCCTTTCTCCTCCTAGAAGTCCTTTCCTCTCCTGTACAGGGGTATAGGACACTAAAAGAGGAACTTGGATCTTCCAGTGTTATAAGGCCAAGGTCTGTAATACTGACCAATATTAACTAGCACTTTCTTCTGTCCTTTTGGTTCAGACTGAATTTACACAGTTGTTTTTTTCTGATCAGCTCACAAAAGGCCACAGGGAACAGGAGTACAAACGGTGTGATATGACACTTATATTAAAAATAAATAGTGGAAGGAAAGGAATTGAATCCAAGGAATTTGTGCCAGATTCTACTCCTCCTCCTTTCTAGAATGCAGAATGCAATAGATACTACATGAATGTATTACATATAATATTCTAAATTCATATGCTGGCAATGCAGAATTTTTAATGTTTTAAATGTCCTGAATTGTCCACTGACCTAGCACACACTAAAGTACCTACAGCATTGATGTTTCCAACAGGCAATGTTTCTGGATTGCAAAATTCTCTAACATTATTTTATTCTACAGAATCATGTGAAAAACCTGATGTTCACATTTTGGATGACCATGTAGATAAAAGCGTGTTCCTTCCTGGAGATACAATTGCATATTCATGTCCAGAGGGATTTCAGACTGCAGATAATATGGCAACTGGTACTACAAGTTGTGAAATAAATGGTGAATGGAAACCAGCACCCAGGTGTCTTGGTAAATATATTTCTGCTTGCTGACCAGTGTAACTGTATGAACTTTGTGAAGCTTTATTCTTTCATTTGGTTTTGTTCTAATCAGTGCTAAGTGATGATAAGAGCATGGCTGCCTCCTCTACCTGCTCTGGCCCAGAATCGCTCCTGCCTGGCTGCTGGAATCCAGCCCAGTGCCACAGGGATCTGGGACCTCTGCTAAGGCCAAGGGATGCAGCTGCCGTTTTCCCCTTTGTGGGTTCAACCAGTACCAAAGCTGAGCACATATCCAAGACTCACAGACACAGGACACTGACACAGCCACATGAATTGCCACAGGCAAGGCTTGCGCTCAACAACACGTGCATACAGCACTCAGATAAAACATAAATATAGACAGCTACGTCCCCTTCCTTCTCTTCAGCTGGTAAAGACAGAGTTTCACTAGTCCAGGTGCACACACAGCACTTTCTAGGTTCACAAGCACACGCATTCATGGAGCCCTCAAGGCCTTTGCTTGCCTCACTCACACCGGTGTCCACCCAGTAGCTGGTTTTTGGGACATACTGTTCCCACTCCAGTGGCTGGAAGGTAAAGACCCTCACAGGCTCCAGTAGCTGCACTGGAACCCCACTTACTTAACTGGCACCTTTTTTTTTTTACGCACACACGTACAGTAGTTCTCACCAGTAGCTAGCACCTAAACCTTGCTACACACAGGGGGAAAGAGAGTGACATTACACAGTGAGAGAGTTAAGAACAGATTTAATAAAATGCAGATGACAGGACAGACTGCAGTGATCAGGTGCAGGGCTCAGCCAGGCAAGCATACTGACTGGCACAGTGTTACACGACTGGTCCCTTTTATCCCTTTTCTGCCTATCCCGATCTTTGTTCTCCTTGCTCTCACTTGCCCCTCCATGTCCCCTCATGGGTTTGTATGGCTGTGTCAATTCCCACACTGTTTCCCTTCCAGGTTCTCCCTGGTTTAGTCTTAGTTGCAAAAACTAGATTGATTATCTTGAAAGTGGTGCCTGTAGTTTTTTGATAGCCAACCAATTAGTGTGACTGGGAAGTTTGTTTCTTGTCATTGCCTCCATGTTGTTTTTTTCAGGGCCGTGTGTCTGTGTATTTTGTTTTTGGTTTCCCCCGTTTCCATTAGTAGTATCTCATGTACTTTTTGTAGGTCTTACAGTATATGTTAAAATATTTTGTCTTTGTAGAAATAGAATGTGAAATACCAATAGTGCCCAATGGATCTATTTCTCCCAGGAAGGATAAATATAGGAATGGAGATGTTGTGAAATTTTCCTGTGAAAAAAAATACAAAAGAGTGGGACCTGCCTCTGCTCAGTGCTATTACTTTGGATGGTCTCCATCACCACCAGCATGTAAAGGTAAATCTATTGTTGACTTTATTGTTGTAGGAAATGTATGAAAATGCCTGTGTCCTGAAGACTTTAGTGGTCACCTTGTCTCTAAAAGGGCAGGTGCTAGTCTACATGTGGTATTATTCTGCTATTTCTCGTGAAAGAGTCTGAGCAGTTGGATTTTCAATTATGTTAATTTTTCTGTGTGTAAAAACATTGAACATGTCTAGAACATTTTTCTGGTAATCAGCCCAAATATTTTTCTCGTTGCCTTCTTCTTTTATCTTCAGTTATGCCAACTGGAGTTCTGGAATAACTGAAAGTTTGCTGGTAAATGGCTTGCAAAATATTTCACTGCAATGTATGAAAAAAATATTATTTATTCGAAAAGACATAAACAGGCTGCAATATGGCAGCCAGGAATTATTTATTTGAGCAATGCCCTCTCTTACTCTATCCTGTTTTTATATTTAAAAAAAATGTTTTTGGAGATGATACATAGCTGAACTCAAGGCAAAAAAAAAAAAAAAAAAAAGAAAAACTCAGTGAAGGCTTTTTACTATGAAATTCCTCGGTTGCATTCTGTAGGATTAACAACATCATGTAGAAGGGAAGACACATTCCCCTATTCTTCTTTTGAAGGAAGCTCAAGATGGCAAGAGCATCTCACATTTCTCACATTTCTTTCCTGCTTGATCAGTTATGTTGTTGTCTTTCTTTTTGCTCACTCTCTTTTGCATTTGAAAACAAGTATATTTTATGTTGTTAGCTCTTCAGCTCAAAAGCATATTAAGCTCCCTTGGCAGGAGTTCATTCCTTTAGAGGTACATATTACTTTCTGGGTGATTTGCATAACATGATATTGTTTCTTGTAGGTTTTTTTTTTGTTGTTTGTTTGTTTGTTTGTTTGTGAAATGCATGTCCATGTAACACTTTTCTTCTCTTAAAAATGGTTTTTTTTCATCAACTGTTTCTTTTATCATGGCAGGAAATTGACATTTACATGGAAGTAAGAGAGTAGACTGAGCCAGGGTCACTCATCTCAGACTATGGGCTGCAGCCCAACATGAATCCAAATAGTCAAAGCTTGTTTAACCTGTTCTGTGGATTTTTCTTAACTTTAAGCAAGAATCTCAGTTTATTTTGTGCTGCACTTAATATGTAAGTGTGCTAATAGTACTGAGTAAAGAGCATCAAATTAATCTCTTGATTTCAGAGAATCCCAGAGGCTGTGGACCTCCACCTGAGATTACCAATGGAAGTATTGCTGCTGGCTCTCTGCAACAGTATCAGCATGGAAGTAGAACAGAATATGAATGTGACACCGTATTTAAATTGGTTGGATCAAAGGAAATAGAATGTGTTGATGGACAGTGGTCACCTCCTCCTTCTTGCATTGGTATCCTACATAATTCTATATATAAAATGCTGTGGTGTTGCCATACAAAGATAACCAGAAGTAAAGTAAAAGAGCTAATGCCAACTGATCACTAGGAAAAAAAAAAAATGCTGTTACAGTAAAACTAAGTCTCCAGGTAGGTCAGGGCATGTTCTGACAAAGTAAGCCAGATAAGCCTCCATCCTGAGGCTTTGTAAGCTCAGTACAAATGCCATGGCCTGTTTCCAGCAATGACAATACTGTATGTTGCAGGGGCTCAGGACTGCAACTGTGGTGACTGTATATGCATTGTGTTGCTGTCTTCCCTAGGCAAGAGTTAGATGCACCACATTTTTTTTATAGTGCTGACATTGAAATGGTGAATGGTTCTACAGTCAGGTGTTCAGCCTCGACACAAGCACCCACTTTCTGTGCATGTCATTAGATGGTGTACCTCAGACCACAGAGTATGGATGTCAACTGCAGGAGTGCAAAACTAACATTCACTTGTTAAGACAGTGTCTCAGAATTGAAGTGAAAATATGCAGATACAGAAAATAATTAGGAGTGTCCTTAAGGAAGAGAACCAATAAACGTTGTGTTTTCATGGACTAGTTTACTCTGTCCTACAAAACATCTTCTATATCAACTGCAGTGCTTATCTAAGTGCCATACAAATTCCCTTATTCTCCCCATAATATGTCTTAATATGCAGAAATACCCACTCACTCAAGATACTTCTCTCCTCAAGCTCTGATCCTTGTGTAGTTTGTGTATGGAGAGATCAAATGGAAATATCTTCAACAGGTGGCTCTTCTGCTACAGCTGCCCCTCATTTTCACAGGGCTCTTGAGAACTTTCTTTTGCAAATATCTATCATCTTCCATGTTTTATTCAACTGTTCAGAAGATTCTAAAACTACTTTTCTTTTTTTTTTTTTTTTTTTTTTTTTTCAGAGGGGGAGGGGTTCTGGGAACAGGCAGAAAGGGATATGCAATCGTGTGGGTCTCCTTCCTTAGAAACCAGGCTAAAATCCATTAGCAACAAAATCTTCTGCACTGACAGAGGTCCCAAAAGACTTGTGATTCCCTTGGAAAGTCTGGTGGTCTGTTTGAATTCTGACATATCTTCCAAGAGCAACACTGGTGTTTTAAAAATGTATAGCATGGAGAAGAATGATTGCTCACATCTTTTTAATATTTGTTCCACAGAGAACAGTTTCTGTGCACAAGTTGGAAAAAAAGAGTGGTTCAAGATTGAGCGCAAAGGTGTTCAAATCCAATTTCTGAGATTACCATGGGTCTTTCCTCTTCCCTGTTCAAAACCGGCTGTATGCCCCTACCCTGATGCATCCCTTTTTCCTCCCTCAAAATAAATACCCTCATACTGCACTCAACTGTGCAAACCATTAACCTTTACATTCACTACCACAGCAACAGGGGCAGCCCACAGCAGGAACCACAGTTAGCACATAGAGATGACAGCCCTGCAGCTCTCTAAGTGATGTTACAGTGGGTTTCAGCTCTTGTAGTAACACTAATTGAGAGTACACATTACAAATGTGTAGGTGTGTTACTGAATATAATTTTGATTGATCAGAATCAGGATCCAGATGAGCTGGATTAATTGAAGGTTTTCTTACACTTTAGGATTCATGTATCTTTGAAAAACAGAATTTTGGGAATTAACCTTAGCTGAAACTACTTGGGGAGTATGCTGTGGAGTTCTCGCAGTGATGGAAAAAGAAGGAAAAGGTCTGGAAAGGGATTTAGTAAACCGACTAAATTACATACATACCTCAGCTCTATAGAAGGTATTGTTAGTTAATAGGAGTAGGTTTGACTTACCAAGTGCAAATGTATTTCTTTTCATTTAATCCTTTCAGATACTCAAATGTGATTCCTGTAAAATTGTGGTATATTTCTGCTCTTTTCCACAGAAGACAAAACACCATGTGGATCACCTTCCTCTATCCCAGATATTGTTCTTCACCAGCAAGACCAGCTCAAGTTTTCTCATGGTAACGAAATATTACATGGATGTAAAAAAGGCGATGCTGGAAGTATGAGGACAAAATGTCTTAATGGGGAATGGAAGCCTTTACCTCTTTGTGATTGTAATCTGTTTCCATAATATTTCAGATATGAGTTTAACATTGTATTCAATATTTCAAGATCTTCAGGAATCAATAAGTAGCCAGAGATACTATAGTTTTATGCATCTTAACTAAGTGCTTTTTATTTACTACTCTTAAGTGTGAACATGTCCTTCATAAAGATAAAGATAAAAGATAAATTTAAGCTTTTTTTCTTCCAAAAGGGCTGTACCCTGGTAGAAATGGGAGTAGCACATAGCTCAAGTTCCAGCCAAAGTTACTTTATTTTCTTTAAAGTTCAAAGCTCTTCTATTGCTATTTTTTATTCTATTTTTTTTCCCAGTCATTTCTTATCAAAACAACAGGAAAAAAGCTGAACTGGCCAGACTACCCTAATCTAATGCACACCAAAGGTCAGATGCCTGCAGGATTGCCTTCAAGAATCATAGGTAGAGCAGGATATTGCCTGTAAAAGAGTAAAAACAATCATGGCCTCATTGCCTGCTTTGATTATGCAATATTGATGGGAAAGGATGTGTGGAAGTGGAAGAAGTGCATAGGGTGGCATTCTCTTTCAAAAACAGTTCCTACCTTCCCAGTGTTCTGAGACCATGAGAAGCAACAAACCAAGATTTTGAGGTTTTCTCCTGCTCAGATCTACCTCTTTCCCTCTTTTTTCCTTTCCTGTGACAGGAGCTGCCCCTTATTCCTTGAGTGGCAAAATTCACATTTATTTTTTTGTTTCCTTTCATGGTTCTCATTTAACTCTACTATTAGCTATGCCTGGGAAAAACAATAACAACAACAAAGCAAACAATCAGAAAAGCTGGCAAAACCAACCACACAAACTGTAAACAACCAAGAGAACCCCACAAGCTGGACCAGTTTTCCTGAAATACCTCACCATACAGAGAGAGTCAGGGAAAGTACACAAGCTTGTGCAGCTGTGTAAGGGAAAGAGGGGACTACCAGCTTACATTACTGAAGACAATTTTGATGTAGAAAAATATATTGATGGTGTATTTTTCTGACCATGTGTTCTGTGAATACATGTTGAAAACGTAAGCATCTAAAGGCAGCTCTGGTGTTTTTGAGGCAGAACAAAATTATTATGATACTAGTTGAAGCTTCAGGTAGCTACTGAAGACTTATCTAATGTCAGTGTTTTCTTGGTTGTTAGTATTGTAATCTGTGACGAACTGTTACGCTTTATCTTATGTTCTGTTATGATGTGCATATGTGTCCTTAGGTGAAAGCACTTGTCCACCTCCACCTCAGCTGCACGGTGCTAAACAGATACCAGCTGAAAGAAATTACAAGAGTGGGAGTAAAATAACTTTTTCGTGTCTTGAGAGTTTCCAGCTCATTGGTGGGAATGAAATAACATGTATAAATGGGAGATGGCAGTCACCACCACGCTGCGTCGGTCAGTAGTGGATTTTTTTTTTCTATTTGTTTTATTATGAACTTCTGGGTTATGTACTTGCACTCATAATTAGCAGAAGGAAGATGTTATTCTTGTTAAGACTGCCACAAACAGGTAATTGTGCAGAAAAGCAATAGAATGTAAGTTGCTAAAGAAGGTGCTGCTGACCAACTGTCATGTAATAAGTTTGTGGGGTGTTTTGGTTGGTTGGTTGTTTTTTTTATTTAGACAAACTCATCTGAGATGGAGCATAAAACCTTCAGGCAGCTCCTCAGGAGCCGTGTGTTTATTTATGTTGCTTGGATGTAGTTTTAGCAGTCTTTGTTTGTTTGTTTGTTTTCTGTCTTTATTCTTACTTGATTTTTCTCCTTTCCTTTTTGTGACTTCTTCCTGTAATACAAGTGTGAATGATATGGCATAACTTTGGCCATCTGTTCTAAGGAATCATAGAACTACAGAATGGTTTGGATTGGAATGCACCTTAAAGATCACTTAGTTCCAACCCCCTGCCATGGGAGGGACACCTCCCACCAGACTAAGTTGCCGAAAAGCCTCATCTAGCCTGGCCATAGGCACTGTCAGGAATGGAGCATCCACAGCTTCTCTGGGATGTTCCTGTGCCTCACCACCCTTTGAGTGAGTGAGGAATTTCTTCCTAGTATCTAATCTAAATCTACCCTGCTTTAGTTTAAATCCATTACCCCCTGTCCTATCTCCACACTCCCTGACAAAGAGTCCCTCCCCAGCTTTCCTGTAGGTCCCCTTTAGGTACTGGAAGGCCACTGTAACGTCTTCCCAGAGCCTTCTCTTCTCCAGGCTGAACCACCCTAACCCCAACAGCTTGACTCCATAGGAGAGGTGCTCCAGCCATCTGGTCGTCCCCATGGCATTCCTCTGGACTCATTTGAATATGTCCATGCTCTTGTGCTGGGTGCCCCAGGTGGTGTCTCACAAGAGCAGAGTAGAGGGGGAGAATCACCTCCCTCGACCTGCTGGCCATGCTTCTTTAGATGCAGCCCAGCACACAGTTGGTTTTCTCAGCTGCAAGAACACACTGCTGGCTCATACTGAGTTCTTCATCAACCAACACTTCCAAGTCCTTCTCCTGAAGGTTCTTCTCAATACATTCTCTGCTCAGCCTGTACATGTATTTGTGCTTGGAATGCTGAGGTATCCACAAGCTGACTGTTCAAACATTGCTGATGCAGATGATATCTTGTAAGCAGAAGTTCATGAAGAAGTAGAAGAAAGTGTTTTCAGAAATGGGTAGGAGATAGATGAGCGCAGGACAAACGAGGTGCGAGCTGGTGATTGATATGCACAACATTACAAGCAAGCCTGTATTTTTAAGCTACAAAATTCTAATGCCCTGTGGTTTCTTTCCTCTTTTGTTGCTTGGGAGACTCTGTTTCCACTGATGTGGCAGACATAGAGAAGAATAATGAAAAAAGTGCTTGAGCTGTTCATAAAATAAACTATACTGCAATAAAATTCTCAGTCACTGTTACTAAACAAGAAGTTTGATTGTAATTAGATCTTTTGTCTTGTGGAATTCAGAAGAAACATATGCTTTCAACTTGTGTCAGCTGATGAAACCTAATTCACTAGTAACCAAAAATGTACATGAAACATAAATTATATGTTCACCCCCTCTACAGTCATGTAAGAGAATAGCATAGCGGGACAACCCCAACTCAGGAGGAGTTTGTAGAGGTTTACTCTACTCTATGTCTGGGGAGGTAGGTTATAGTTCTTAAGCTCTGCTGCACTCTGGTATTGTCCTTATGTCATCAGGAAACCCCCCATGACATTGGTATAATTTTATTAGTGGTGGACAAGCTTAATTTAGTTACAGTTCTAGAAACTCACTTTCACCAGGACGAAATAACGTCTCTTCTGATTCTCTGTCTATGATTTTTATAATTCTTTTTATTAAGTTGTAACTATATCTCCTTGTCAAGATGTGGGAAATGGCTCAAATTTGGTTCAAAGTAAAATGAAACCAAACGGTTTGGGATTTTCTTTGAGGGAGAGAGGAAAGGAGTTTTGTTTTGTGAATCTCACATACTTCATCTTACTTTCAAGCCACATAACTTTTGTTTGGATTTTTTTTTCTTTTCCTTTTCTGTTTTAGACTGCATATGTCTTTGGAATATTAATTGTCTTGTAATACTGTTTGTCTCTGTGCTTCATATTTTAAAGAAAATCCCTGTTTGCCACCGCAACCTGTAGAATACGTAGATGATCTTAGGCTGGAAAATCAAAACTTAAAAATGGAAAAAGAAGGGAAAACAATTTATCTGGCTGGTGCTACACTGAATGTGGTTTGTCGTCCTGGATATAAGTTAGATGGACCATCAAAGATAACTTGTTCTATGGGAAACTGGACTTCAGCTCCTACATGCTCTGGTAATGTTAAACAAGACTTTTCCTGAGGTGTACTTAGCAATGAATCTGAACATTTTTAAACTGGAGTTTGAAATGTAGCAACAGACAGTAATTCCATATTTTGCTATAGAATGTTATTTTTCCTCATGAATGTCTTCAAAGCAATCCTGGTGGGGGGCAAGGCTGATACAGTTGAACACAGTTTATTTTTTTATATATTCCTGTGGTATATTTGCAATCTATGTTCAGAGTCAGTCTCTGCCAGATGAGTCATGGGCATATCCTTACCATCCAAGGATCTGTTCTGTACAGAGTCCACTAGTGAGTAGAAATTGCTTTGGTACTTCAATGATAGACATCACTTCTGTATAGTAAAGGATAGAAGCCTTTACCAAAGTTTTCTGGCAGGGCTAGAAACATAATCTAAATCTTTGCAGTGCCTGAAGTTCATGTCTATTTAGAGTACTAACATTTAAGTTTCTGAATGCCACCTTTTATATAAAATCCACACGCAGTGATTGACTATGCTGATGCTATAAAAGGCATCTTTGGTAGGAACAATACAGTCATTCTACGTGTATCACATTACCAAAAGTTTCAAGTTTGCATATCTTTTGCATATCTTTTCAGAAAGACCATGTGGAAGTATTCCAGCAGTGGCCAATGCTGCATTTGAAGGCAGGAGCAAGGAGAAGTATGAGCCTGGTGAAACAGTTCGCTACCAGTGTCATGAAGGATTTCAGGTCACTGGTCCCCCTGAAATTTTTTGCAGAAGGGGAAATTGGTCAACACCACCAATCTGTGAAGGTATAGGTTGTACTTCTAAGTAGTCTATGATCCTTCTTAGTCTTCCAGGAAGAGTAGTTAATGTAACGCCAACCGATACGTGCAAGTGAGTCAGACCAGTAGAGCTGATCATTGAGTTGCTTTTAATAGATTGCTCCAACACCTGTTTTTCTGGTCCCTGAGAAGCACGAAGCAGGACCGATCAGCAAAGAAATCTTTTCCCCTTCTGGACTGAAGCCAGTAGCCACAGCTTCGCTCACTGCTTAGATTAGCAGTCAGAGGATTATGGAAGAAAGGGTGCTGGCTGCAAAGAGTGACATAGCTGGTAGCCTTACATATTTTAAATTTCAGTCTATGAAAGTTACCTTCGAATAGTAAATAACCCACTTTGTTCTCCAGCGCTTTGGCACACAATTCTGGATGGCATCAGCCTGCACATTCAGCTGGTCTCTGCAGCTCCTTTCCTCTTTTTAAGTCACTTTAGGAAAAAAAAAATATATATATATATATATATAAATAATAATTGCCTGGTGAAGCGTTGCAGAATGAAACCCATAGTATCTTCCTTACCTACTTGTAGAAAATAACCTGCCTTACGCAAACCATCTGTCCTCATCAGGAATAATGGTGCTTCTGAATACATTATTCTGTGATAGCCATATTCATGTCCTATGATTCTCAAACGCACCTCTCTTTTCAGATGTTCGCTGTGGACCCCCACCTGAAATTCTCAATGCTCATGTTACCAGCACTCAGCAGCAGAGGTATCTGCCTGGTGCCAAAGTGCATTATGAATGTGAAAGTAATTCACAAATTATGGGTGTAAATTATGTCACTTGTTCAGATGGACACTGGACAAAAGTGCCAAGCTGCAGAGGTAGGAATTTGTGCTTTCATTATGGCTGTTCGCTTCATGGGGACTGTTTGGATTACCTTAATACTAGAAAGACATTACCTTTTTTAGTTTTGTTTCCTTTGTGTAATGCAGCTTTTTACCCACTACTTCTTTCTTGCACAGAACTTTAATTTAGCTTAATACTTCTAGAAATACTATGGGTATATTCATCAAGAGCAAAAATATCTTGAAGAAAAAAGGCCTAGAGTATGCTGACTTGCTATTCTTCTCTGCGATACAAGTAATTTCCAGATTACACCATTTTACTGACCTTCACTAGAAAGATGTGTAAGGGCTCCTCTGTTGTGTTCAGGGCTGTCAGAGAGTATCGGAATGGCAGAAGCACTAGAGGAGAGAAACAGGAGCTCTTCTCTGAGGCTCCACTATGACAGAGATCCCAGCAGAGCCTCAGGAACTAAAACATGCAGATCGGCTGGGTTCTGCAATGGCAAGAAGGTTCCTCTGAAGAGGAGCTGTGCCGTCCTCCTAGTCCCTGCCCAAATCTGTGGCTGGGGGCTGAACAAGTGCAACGTGGCAGTCATACACCTCCATGGAGTCAACTTTACTTACCTGACCCATGAGTAGTACAGGCTGATAATGTCTTCCAGAGCTCTGCAGTTCAGCAGAGAGCCAGCTTGGCTGCTACATCTGTGATTCTGAGAAGCGCTCGTGTTCTCAGCAGAGGGCCATGGCCTTGCAGGGAGGTTTTTTCTGGTATGTGGTGTAGCTACAGAAACGTTGGCTTTTTCTAGAAGCTCTCACTGTCCCTGTCATCTCCTGAGAATCTGGAAGGTGCTCTGCTGCCTTTGTCATGTTAATTTACATTCCTGGAGCTCACAGTGCCATAGAAAGCCAAGGAAAAAGGGGGGTGGGGGGTGGGGAGGGAAATCAAGTCATGTTGGTAAGGCAATATTGTCTCTTGCGCTTAAGAACATCATCTGGGGAGTAACAAGATGATTCTCTTAACTTGTTTGTGTAAGAACATGTGAGGGTATACAAATAAAGTGCCGAAATGTCTCTTTTCAGATGTGACGTGTGAACCTCCTCCAGAAATTGCTGGTGGAAAAGTTCAAGGTGTTAAAAAGCCAAGGTATTTGCCTGGGGAGACAGCTCACTATCAGTGCTGGCAAGGTTTTCAGATGACGGGGGCTTCCACCGTAAGATGCCAGAATGGGACCTGGACAGAGCAGCCCCAGTGCAAAGGTGAGTTCTCTCTCTCTCCATGCAGTACACTGTCAATGAAGACTGCCCTCAAGCTAGCTCAGTGGCATTTAGGTCTCCAAATTTCAGTCTCAGGACTGTGAGCAAGTGCAACAGTATCTGTGAGACTCAGGAAAAAATGGATTTTGCGTGGTATCTCTCCATTTGTGGTGGCAGGATGTGTTTAATGGAAGTCTACCAGATGGCTTCACTCAAGGGTTGCCACATCTGGAAAAGTACCCTGAGGCTGAGAGCAACTGCTGGCCAGCTCTGATTTTGAGACTCCAGCCTTTCACTTCTGCAAATCTACTTTCTGAGAATGCCTAATGTGAGGAGAGTGAGAAATTGTGCTGTCTGTGCTGGAGAACAGAGCTCACAGCTCTCCTGCTCACTGACATCCAGGAAATTCAAGTGGAGCATTGCCTTTGTGAATGCCGTGCAATTGAGTCTACTGTTAAATTACCTGCGGGCCGTAGCTGATGGGTGAGCTAACAGCTGGTACCACGTTGGTCCCCAGCATTTCACGAACACATTGAATAATCTCATTTGATTCATGAGGCATGTGCTAGGTTTCAGTACATGAACAAATGCAGCATTTGGTGTCAAAGTGACAGTTTTCTCTCTGCTTTCCTCCAAGTCTCTCGAAGTACTGCCTACATGGTCTTCTGAAGAATTTGTGGCTAGGCCTCTCTTGCAACTAAACTTCAGTGGTTTTCTTTCTAATCTTCTTTCAGGGAAGGGTAGAAAATGTGGTCCACCTCCAGATATTCAATACGGAGACATCCTTTCCTTCCCATTACCAGAATATGACCAGGGTGAGACTGTGAAATACAAATGTGCAAGTTTCTACATCCTGGAAGGACCTGAGCAAATCACCTGCATTGATGGGCAGTGGACAAATCCCCCAGTTTGCTTGGGTAGGTGGAAGCTGGTGCTGCGTGGCCCAGAGCTGTGTGAGCTGCTCGTTGTCTTTCTCTCAGGCCCTGCGTGCGCTGCACTTGTGAAGCAGCGCTTGTGTTGGGGCTGCAACGCTGACAGGGCAGAAGAGCAGCTGGTGCTTCTCCTGTGCAGAAGGAATTTCATCTGGAGGTCAGCTCGTGTAGCTGCCTCTGCTGCTTGCTGTCCCTCCCTGCCCCCAGACACCAGCAGATCCAGGAGGGTGGGTTGGTCTGAGTGCAAGGAAATCCAGGGCCAGAAGGGAATGAATTTGAGAAGTGCTGGGACGAGGGCAAGGAGAGGGCCCAAAAAAGACACAGGGGAGGTCATTGCTGCCTTCTGGGTGCCCCTGCCCCAGGCTGTGCTTCCCCCTTGGCCTGTGAGACTGTCAGAGGGCAAAGGCCTCTGCACAGCGGTGTGTGGCAACTCAGCCATCATTGTTTTTCCCTTTTGCCTTCTTAAGAATGTCTTTCCTGTTGGAAAACTCAGAGGGTGAGAGCTCATTGCTGGAAGAGTTTTGTGAAGTACACCTGTAGGCTCAGAGAGGGGAAGAAAATGTATGTGTGGTATATTTGTATGAATTTATTACATCCTTCTCTTGCCTTTACCAAGCGGCTTGTACGGCCTCTGAAGAAGATATGGACAGAAACAATATTGAGCTGAGATGGAGAGAAGAAAGAAAACTGTACTCAACATCAGGCGATTTTATTGAATTTGATTGTAAAATAGGACATGTGCAGGACCCAGCATCTTCCCGCTTCAGAGTGCAGTGCATGGACGGGACATTAGAATACCCACGGTGCAAGCCAGGAAGTAAGTCACCTCCACTCTGTCACTGCTTGGCCGCTGCCTTGGTGCATTTTTAGCGCAGAAGCTGGGAAGAAAACCCCTAGCAAGTGTGCCTGGGGAAGAAATAGCGGGGCACCAAGGTGGGAGAACACCCTGCAAAGCTGCAGGCCATGAGGGGAGGTTCCCCCAGGAAGCCGCCGACTGGCGAACCTGAGCTGGAAAGGCTCCTGGGGAACGGGCTCGCTGGGGCTCATCAGGGTTACTGGTGCTGGGCCTGCCCGGCTGGTTCCAGGCAGGATGGAAGGGCTGGTAAGTTCCCTGCAAGTGGCTTCTCTGAAATCAGAAGGTGCCATGGACTGTGGCAGGGCTGAAGGGAGGGAGACCATTTCCTTGCAGGCTCTCCCAGGCCTGCCTGTTCAGGCAGGGCTTTGTCCCAGAGAGCTTCTCTCCTGCTTCTCTCTTGCAGCCACAGCTGTGCCCCCTTTGCACCCATGGCCTTCCCAGCTCCTCTCTGATTGTGCCCTGCTCTGGTGTGTGTGGAGGCAGGGGTCAATGCCCATTGCACGCCTTCACAGGCTTCTCCAGCAGGAAACCTGTACTTGCCTCCTCATACAATTTCCCCAAGCCGCAATTACTGCGACATTGCTGAAGGATATGAAATGGGCTTTTGCCTTTCATCATCGGCAATGTGCGTTGATACAGGAGGGGACAGATGCAGCAGGGATGCAGCACAGGGGAATAAGTAGTGTCAGTCACTAAGCTGGTACCAACAGCTTCAGAGAGTTGACAACGAGGTCTACAGGCAATGATGAAAGTACTTTCTCTTGTGGTGGTGGCTGTTCTTTTCTTTTTCTTGTTTTTCTCTTTTTTTTTTTTTTCTTCCCAAGGGAACTGTAGTTTGAGTGAGGTGGCTATGAAGAGGAACAATATAAAACTAAAACACTGGAGAAGATCTAACATATATCGCTCTAAGGAGACTATTTCATTTACATGCTATTTTGCCCACTGGGAAGTCTCAAACCCAGAGGATTTTGAGGCACAGTGCCAGGATGGAGTGATTAACTACCCTCGATGTCAATGTAAGTGCTCTGTGTGGAGGGCACAGTGCTCTGTAGAATTGTGGACAAGAAGGGAGGGTCAGCTTTAGGGGCCTTCACTTAACCCTCTACCAGTTTGTGACTGTCTTGGGGTTGCTCCTGTTCCAAGGGGCCTGGGGAATCAAACGGAAGCAATGGGAATGCTAGGCAACTTTGCTGTCCACTGCTCTCAAGAAACATGGCTATGTGCCAGCCTTGGTGTTCATTCCTTTTCTACTTCCTCTCTTTACATTGCAGCGTATTTTGGATAAATGGAAAAGGCATGAAGGAGCCCAGCTGGAGAAATGAATGATCCTTTGACCAGCCCAGTGATTTTGAGCTCAATTTTCCCTGGATTTTGCTGTTTCATTGTGCTGTGTTTGCAGCTTAGGCAATGTTCTGTGTTGGAATTTGCCTTTCTTTTTTCCCTTTGAATTGTTGGATGATTGCTTTGACATGTTACCATTTTTGTAAAAGTATTTACATTTTATCCATTCAAATGACTGTACTTCCTTCTTACTCTTGTTCTGTATTGATCTCACTGTTATTTTATTAACAGTTGCTTCCTGAAGTAGGCTGGCTTTGGTGGCATACTGAGACATCAATTAAAGTGTGCAGCTAATTTGCTGATCAGCAAGTAGTGTGTGTGTGGTCTAGTGTGCTCTTAGCTTCTTCTCCGTGTACTTTCCTGGGAGTTTAGCCTGGTGTCATGGCAGAGATGAGTGTCCTCACAGCCTCATTTTGATGTGAAGGTGAGTGCTCTCCTTTAAACAACTCAGGGAAGTCTGTGGATCATAGACCCCAATTCTTATGCACAACTTGAATCTCTGCACTATTTCATGAAAGGGCATTATTTTGGATTGAAAACAACTTTGAATCCTTGGGAGGAAGGCTTGCCTTCTTGGCCTTGTACCAAATTCAACGAGGCCAGATGGAATCCATGTAGGAGTAATGTAGGAGCTGTTGGAAATGCTCACCAAGCAGCTTTCTATCATTTATCAGTAGTCCTGGCTATCGGGGGAAGTCCCAGGTGACTAGCAGCTAGCAAATGTGATTTCCATCTCCAAAAATGCTGGAAGGAGGAGCCAGGGAACTACAAGCTTATCAGTCTGACTTTGGCGCCAGAGAATGTTTGGAGCAGATCATCTTGAGTGCCATCCCTTGGCAGATACAGGACAACCACATATTCCAGCCCAGTCAGCTTGGGTTTATGGAAGGCTGGACCTACTCAGCTAATCTGATCTCCTTTTAATGACAAGGTGACATGCTTACTGGATGAGGTAAAGGCTGTGGATTTTGTCTATTTAGACTTTACTAAATATTTTAGCACCATTTCCCACAGCATTCTTCTGGAGTAACTGGCTGCTCGTGGCTTGGATGGGCATACACTTCACTAGGTAAAAAGCTTGCTGGTGGCCAGGCCAAAAGAGTCGTGGGAAATGGAGTTAAATCCAGCTGAAGGCCAGTCACAAGTGGTGTCCCACAAGGCTCAGTGCTGGGGCCAGTTCTCTTCAGTATCTTTATCAATGATCTGGAGGAGGGGATTGAGTGCACTCTCAGTAAGATTGCAGATGACACAAGGTGCAAGTGTTGATCTGCTCAAGGGCTCTGGATAGGCTTGACTGATGTGCCAAGGCCAACTGTATGAGGTTCAACAAGGTTAAGTGCCAGGTTAAGCACTTGGGACACAACAACCCCATGCAATGATACAGGTTGTCCACCCTCAGCAAGTACGCTAAAGATACAAAGCTGGGGGGAGTGGCCGACATGCCAGAAGGTTGTGCTGCCATTCAGTGAGACCTGGACAGGCTGGAGATATGGGCAGGAAGAAATCAAATGAAGTTTAACAAGAGCAAGTGTAGAGTCCTGCACCTGGGAAGGAACAACCACATGTATCAGTACAGGCTGGGGGGACGACCTGCTGGAGAGGAGCTCTGAGGAGAAGGACCTGGGGGTCCTGGTGGGACGACAGGTTGACCATGAGCCAGCACTGTGCCCCCGTGGCCAAGAGGGCCAATGGGATCCTGGCGTGCATTAAAAGGAGCGTGGCCATCAGGTCAAGGGAGGTGATCCTCCCCCTCTACTCTGCCCTGGTCAGGCCTCACCTGGAGTAATGTGTCCAGCTCTGGGCTCCCCAGTACAAAAAAGACAGGGATCAGCTGGACAGAGTCCAGAGGAGGACCACAAAGATGATATGGGGCCTGAAGCATCTTCTTCCCTGTGAAGAAAGGTCGTTCAGCCTGGAGAAAAGGAGACTGAGAGGGTATCTTATTAATGTTTAAAAATATCTGAAGTGTAGGAGACAGAGGGATTTAGCCAACCTCTTTTCAGTGGTTTGTGGGGACAAGACAAGTGGCCAAAAAATAGATTACAAGAAGTTCCGCACCAACGTGCAAAAGAGCTTCTTCATGGTAAGGGTGACGGAACACTGGAGCAGACTGCCCAGGGAGGTTGTGTGTGGGGGGGGTCTCCTTCTCTGGAGAAATTCAAGGGCCATCTGGAGGCCTCCATGGGCAACATGCTCTAGGGAACCTGCTTTGGCGGGGGGCTGGATCCGATAATCTCCTGAGGTCCCTTCTAACCCCTTCAATTCTGTGATTCTGTGAAGAGTGTCTGGAAAGCTGCCCAGTGGAAAGGGACCTGGGAGTATTGGTCAACACCTGGCTGAATATGAGCCAAAAGTGTGCTCTGGTGGCCAAGACCAAGAGCATCCTGACTTGTATCAGAAATAGCATGGTCAGCAAGATTAGAGAAATGATTGTCTCAGTTCTGGTACTGGGCTCTGGTGAGGCTACACCTCAAGTAATGTGTTCAGTTTTGGGCCCCTCTCTACAAGAAGGACATTGAGGTGCTGGAGCATGCCCAAAGAAGGACAACAAAGCTGGTGAAGGATCTAGAGACCAAACCTTATGAGGAACAGTTGAGGCAGCTGGGCTTATTTAGCCTAGCAAAAAGAATGCCCAGGGGAGACCTCATCACTCTTTACAGCTACAGCAAAGAAGGTTGTAGCAGGGTGCAGCAATAGGACAAGAGGAAATGGCCTCAAGCTGTGCCAAGAAAGTTTTAGGTTGGTTTTCATTGCAAGGACTGTGAAGCATTGGACCAGGCTGCCCAAGGATGTAGTTGAGTCACCATCCCTGAAGGTATTCAAAAGATGCATAGACATGTTGCTTAGGGACATGGATAAGTGATACATGTGACAGCTCTAGGTTAACAGTTGGACTTGATGATCTTAGAGGTCTTTTCCAACCTAAATGATTCTATGATTCTGTGTTTGTGTGCCACTGATGTATTGCTGAGTGTGTGTGTGTGTGTGGGGGGGGGTATAGAGGTGTTTTACTGCCATTATCCACAGGTATTAGATGGTTACTGTCTTTTATGAGATCTGCCTCTTCCCCCTCCTGTTCTTGTGATGACCCTGTTTTGCAGTAGCCTGCCTCATCCACTTCTTCCTTCTTCCCCTTCCTAGTAGAAGTTTCTTCTTTTCCTAAACAAACTGGCTTCCTCTTCCACTGTTTCTTCTTAAATATAAGGGCAATTGATAAAAGAACAGGTCGGTTCTCTAGTTCAGCTGCAGTGTCTGTTGTGAGAGTTGCAGTAGACGTAGTGCTTTGGATCGGATCCAGAGGCATTCTCTTCTTTAGGGTGCTGAGTAGTGTTGATTTTTGTTTGATAGGTAGAGTACAGGCCCCAGCACAATGCAGAGAGCTATAAACCTCTGGCTAGCGACATACTTTTCTAATAAATAAATAAATAAATAAAATCTATCCTTTTTTAGGATTCTGCATTTGTTCAGGGATGAAGTCCAATGAAGTCCAAAACCATTGGAAAGTGACAATTGTGATAGATACTCGCCTATATCCTCCCATACACCCTGCCACCTGTAACCATCCTGCCTCAGGGCAGATCTCTGGGTGATAATGTTAAATAGTCATTTAGTCTTAGCCAAAGCCAGAAACACATGCAGGAGATATAGCAATAGGATTGTACTAGTTTGAACATCCCAAGAATATATAAGATTTTCAGGAACCATTGTAATTAGCCTGGAGGAGAAAAGGTAAAGACTGTACATGATAATAGTTTCCATAAGAAGGTTCCTGAGGTGCAAGAATGATGGCAATACCGAGTACAAATATTGTGCTTATGTGATTACATTATGTGATTACAAATGATTACATTAACAGTCAGTGTAACAGGAGCACATGCTCTATACAAACTGACAAAAACATTAACTTTGGCGAGCCTCACACAATCTCGACAACAAATAAATTGACATTATAAACAAATATATCAACATTGTGACTGGCAATTATTACACAGTTATAATGCTTATTAAAAAAAAAAAAAAATGTTCTAAAATGCTCTGGTCAGATCTGTCATTTTCTCAAGCCTTCATGCCCTGCTTTGGGTGTCAAAAGGACTGTTGTGGTTAAACCTGACATGCAGGCAGCTAAGCATCATGCAGCTGAAAACTCACCATTCTCTCTCCTGCCGGCAGGATGGGAAGAAAACTGAAAAGTGCAAGAACTCATGGGTTGAGATAAGGATAGTTTCATAAGAAATAAAATGAAAATGAAAGAAAATAACCTCCCTCCCCAAATCCAACAATAAAAAGAATAAATAAAGCAGGTGAGGCACAGTAGAATTGCTCATCATCAGCTGGCCGGTGCTCAGCCAGTCCCTAACCGAGGGCTGCCCCCTGCCCCTCTGCCCCAGTTTTATTGTTCAATATCAATTTACATGGTATGGAATGGTCCCAGATATATGGTCCCTTTGGCCAGTTGGGGTCAGCTGTCCTGGTTCTGTCCCCAGCTCCTGCTGCACCCCCAGCCTTCCAGCTGGCAGGGCACCACAAGAAGCTGAAAAGTCCTTGGCCCCGTGTAAGCACTGCTCAGCACAAATAAAACATCGGTGTGTTATAAGCATTATTCTCACCCTCTATCCAAAGTACGACACCATACCAGCTACTAGAACTACTATCCCAATCAAAACCAGGCACATATTGGTCTAGCAAACAGTCTCACTGCTTTTAATGGGAGTTCTAGGTAGATGGCAGTTCACAGACTTGAAGTGGTTTTGTCCCATTCTCAGAAATTTCATTTGCTTTCTACTGGATCTTAAAGTAAGAACTACAGTCTTCTCATTTCTGATCTTAGAGGCACATGAAAGTATTCCAACCTTAAACCAAAAGGAGAAAAAAGGAATATTTGGAATTCAAATTTGGACCAGAAAAGAATGAATGAAACACTCTTTTTTCCAATGTGACTGGCATGCAGCTAAATCCATCTAAATGCACAAAGTCTGCAACCAAGTGAGAGCAACAATAGTATCTGAAGTGTGACATAGCATCCATCTGTATACATCAATGAAGTGATTCCAGTGATAATGAAATATTATTTCAAACTTACCTGAAATATGCTGATATACGTGTAATTTACCTGCTCTGGTCCTGAATAAAAATCCAGGTCAAGGTGATCGCACAGTAAAGAGCTCCTTGCTGGCATCAGTACTCCTGTCAGACGGCCAGTGTAAGTAAAAATCAAGAAAAGAAAGTCAAATCTTCTATCAAATAATCAGATGGAAATATTACCTCTAAAAAAGGAAAATTATTTTCCTTATTTATCCTGACCGTTAAAAATGACAGCCACTATTCGACAAGAATGATGCAGACTTTCTTGAAAATAGATGTCTTTCCATTGTCTGTTCCTGAAAACAAAACATTGGTATCATGATTTACATGAATATTGCCTAATTCAAGGAATTTTCAGTATAAACTGTAATTCTGATGACTGGTACTTATTCCCCATTTCAGTGCTTCATTGCAGGGCTGACAGGAACAGGAGACCTTCACCTTCTTCTGGTAAGGGGAATAAATGTCACTATCTTCTTGAAAGAATATACACAAGCTTCAACAATGAAATATGGATATATATATTTATAAAATTAAGGAAAAATAATCTTGCCGGATAAAATGCTGGCAGATGGAGACGTGCTAGTTTGTTAAGTTGTTGTTAAGTTGTGTATTCTATAAAATAAGACACAAAGAGAAGTACAAATACAGTAGAACTCGAAAGACACAGAGTTCATGATACATTTTTTAACAAAAAGTACCTTTCTATGGTAGTTATCCAACACCAACAAACCATCAAGGAAAGAGTTATACCATTTTATACAAAGAGCAGTTCTGTGTCAAGCTCTGATCAATATTTTAAGTGAACAAGCATGTGAAGAGAAAGATACTTGTTTGATACATCCCAGCTAAATAAAAAATACAAAAATCATTACTGACAATGAAGGATATTAAATCCATGCTTCCTATCAAGCCATTAATATTTCATTCCATTATCAAAACTCACACTATCTTCACTTATTAAAAGATATAATCAAAAGTGATCTGAAGTGAAAAAGTATACTAAACAAGGAAATAATTCTATTGCATACTGAGGTAAAAACACTGAGACACATTAATCATGAATTGCTTAGTTCCAATACAATAAATGAAGAAATAAGAGCCTATATTTTCTCCATTGATTTGAAATGCATCCTCAAAAGATACAGAGAGAAACAACAAGAATCTAAGCAAAAATTTCAAAGAATGAAAATCCTTTCTTTGAAATGTGGCCCCATGATGTGGGCCGCAAGGGGGCTTTCAATTAAGAGTGTCAAATCCCCAGTATTACATAACCAAAGGCACTGCCACAGCAAAATATCAGCAGGAGGTCTCAATGAGTGACCACATCACTAGAGACTTCTTTGTTGCCATGACCCTTGACGAAATTCCAGGCAAGCACATGGAGAAGAAGCTAGAGCAAACATGACCACACACGCATACACACTACTTGCTGATAAGCAAATTAGCTGCACAATTTAATTGATGTCTCAGTATGCCACCAAAGCCAGCCTACTTCAGGAAGCAAATGTTAATAAAATAACACTGAGATCAATATAGAAAAAAAGTAAGAAGTACAGTCATTTGAATGGATAAAATGTAAATACTTTTACAAAAATGGTAACATGTCAAAGCAATCATCCAACAATTCAAAGGGAAAAAAGAAAGGCAAATTCCAACACAGAACATTGGCTAAGCTGCAAACACAGCACAATGAAACAGCAAACTCCAGGGAAAATTGAGCTCAAATCACTGGGTTGGTCAAAGGATCTTTCATTTCTCCAGCTGGGCTCCTTCATGCCTTTTCCATTTATCCAAAATACGCTGCAATGTAAAGAGAGGAAGTAGAAAAGGAATGAACACCAAGGCTGGCACATAGCCATGTTTCTTGAGAGCAGTGGACAGCAAAGTTGCCTAGCATTCCCATTGCTTCCGTTTGATTCCCCAGGCCCCTTGGAACAGGAGCAACCCCACGACAGTCACAGACTGTTGGAGGGTTAAGTGAAGGCCCCTAAAGCTGACCCTCCCTTCTTGTCCACGATTCTACAGAGCACTGCGCCCTCCACACAGAGCACTTACATCCACATCGGGGGTAGTTTATCACTCCATCCTGGCACTGTGCCTCAAAATCCTCTGGGTTTGAGACTTCCCGGTAGGGAGAATTGCATTTAAATAAAATAGTCTCCTTAGAGCGATATACGTTAGATCTTTTCCTTGACCATCTTAGTTTAATATTGTTCCTCTCCATAGCCGTCTCACTCAATATACAGTTCCCTTTGGAAGGAAAAAAAAAAAAAAAAGAGAGAGAAATAATGAGAGAGACAGGAGAGGCGAGGCGAGGCGAGGCAAGGAGACTTGCTAGGGGCTTTCCTCTCAGCTTCTGCAATAAAAATACACCAAGGCAGCGGCCAAGCAGTGACAGAGTGGAGGTGACTTACTTCCTGGCTTGCACCGTGGGTATTCTAATGTCCCGTCCATGCACTGCACTCTGAAGGGGGAAGATGCTGGGTCCTGCACATATCCAATTTTACAATCAAATTCAATAAAATTTCCTGATTTTATGGACAGATTTCTTTGTACAACCCATTTCAGCTCGATGTTGTTTCTGTTCATATCTTCTTTTGATGTCGTACAAAATGCTTGGCAAAGGCAAGGGAAGAATGTCATTAGTTCACACAGAGGCAGCAGATACATTTTCCTCCCAAAGCCTATAGATGTACTTCACATCACAAACCTCTTTTAGCAATGTGATCTCTCCCTCTGAGTTTTCCAACAGGACAGACATTCTCAACAAAGCTACATGGAAAAAAGATGATGGTCTAACACATAGAGACCTGAATGCCACTGAGCTAGCTTGAGGGCAGTCTTCACTGACAGTCTACTGCATGGAGAGAGAGAGAGAGAACTCACCTTTGCACTGGGGCTGCTCTGTCCAGGTCCCATTCTGACATGTTACGGTGGAAGCCCCTGTCATCTGAAAACCTTGCCAGCACTGATAGTGAGCTGTCTCCCCAGGCAAATACCTTGGCTTTTTAACACCTTGAACTTTTCCACCAGCAATTTCTGGAGGAGGTTCACACGTCACATCTGAAAAGAGACATTTCTCCACTCAGTTTGTAGGCACTCACGTGTTCCCCTACACAAACTACAGTTAAGGGAATCATCTTGTTACTCCCCAGATGATGTTCTTAAGCACAAGAGGCCTTACCAACATGACTTGATTCCTTTCCCCCTCTTTTTTCCTTGAACATGAGTGTTTCTAAACACTGTGAACACCAGGAATGACACTTAATCGCAGCAGAACACCTTCCAGATTCGCAGGAGATTACTGGAATGGTGAGAGCTTCTAGAAAAAGCCAGCATTTCTGTAACTACACCACATGCCACAAAAAGCCTCCTTGCAAGGCCATGGCCCTCTGCTGAGAACCCCAGCACTTCTCAGAATCACAGATGTAGCAGCCAAGCTGGCTCTCTGCTGAACTGTAGAGCTCTGAAGTAGTTATCAGCCTGCACTGCTGGGTTGTTATCCACAGTTCTACAGAGCAATGTATCTTCCACACACAGCACTTACTTTCACATCGGGGGTAGTTTATCACTCCGTCCTGACACTGGGCATTAAAATCCTCTGGGTTCGAAACTTCATGATAGGAATCCTTGCATGTAAACAAAATATACTCCTCAGAACGATACGTGTAAGATCTTCTCCTTGGCTGTCTTAGTTTAATATTGTTGCTCTCCATAGCTGTCTCAAGCACTGTACAGTCCTCTGGGGAAGATAAAAAATTAAAATAAATAAATAAATAAATAAAAATAAAAGTAAAATATTGCATCCAGTTCAGGTCCCCAGTTCAAGAAGGACAGGGTCCCTCTGTCCTCGCTTGACAGAGTCCAGCGCAGAGCCTCGACAATGATTAAGGGAGTGGAGCTTCTTCCTTACAAGGACAGGCTGAGGGAGTTGGGTCTCTTTACCTTGAGGAAGAGGAGACTGAGTTGTGACCTTATTAATTTCTATAAATATATAAAGGGCAAGCGTCAGGAGGACGGAGCAAGACTCTTCTCAGTGACACCCAACGACAGATAAAGAGTAAAAGGGTGCAAGCCGGAACATTGAAGATTACGCTTGAATGTGAGAAAAAACTCTTTTTTACAGTGAGGATGACAGAATAATGCAACAGGCTGCCCAGGGGAGGTGTGGAGTGTCCATCAGTGGAGACTTTAAAAACCCACCTGGACGCATTCCTGTGTGACCTGATTTAGGTGCTCCTGCTCAGGAAGGGGATTGGGCTAGAAGATTCTTCAAGATCCCTTTCAATCCCTGATGTTGGGACAAAGCCCTGCCTACACAGGCAGGCTTCAAAGAGCCTGCAAGGAAATGGTCTCCCTCTCTTCAGCCCTGCCACAGTCCGTGGCACCTTCCAATTTCAGAGAAGCCACTTGCAGGGAGCTTACCAGCCCTTCCATCCTGCCTGGAACCAGCCGGGCAGGCCCAGCACCAGTAACCCTGATGAGCCCCAGCGAGCCCGTTCCCCAGGAGCCTTTCCAGCTCAGGTTCGCCAGTCGGCAGCATCTTAGGGGCACCACCCCTCATGGCCTGCAGCTTTGCAGGGTGCTCTCCCACCTTGGTGCCCCGATATTTCTTCCACAGGCACACTTGCTAGGGGCTTTCCCCTCAGCTTCTGCAATAAAAATGCACCAAGGCAGCGGCCAAGCAGTGACAGAGTGGAGGTGACTTACTTCCTGGCTTGCACCGTGGGTATTCTAATGTCCCGTCCATGCACTGCACTCTGAAGGGGGAAGATGCTGGGTCCTGCACGTATCCTATTTTACAATCAAATTCAACAAAATCGCCTGATTTTAAATACAACTTTCTTTCTCCACTCCATTTCAGCTCAATGTTGTTTCTGTCCATATCTTCTTCAGATGTCGTACATGCCGCTTGGAAAAGGCAAGAGAAGAACGTCATTAGTTCATGCAGACACATCATACGTCCAACCAAACAAAAGGGAAAAACAATGATGGCTGAGTTGCCACACACCGCTGTGCCCTCTGTGCCTGACAGTCTCACAGGGCAAGGGGGAAGCACAGCCTGGGGTGGGGGCACTCAGCAATGAACTTCCCTGTGTCTTTTTGGGCTCTCTCCTTGCCCTCGCCCCAGCACTTCTCAAATTCATTCCCTCATGGCCCTGGATTTTCTTGCACTCAGACCAACCCACTCGCGTGGATCTGCTGGTGACTGGGGGCAGGGAGGGACAGGAGGCAGCAGAGGCAGCTACACGAGCTGACCTCCAGAGGAAATTCCTTCTGCACAGGAGAAGCACCAGCTGCTCTTCTGCCCTGTCAGCATTGCAGCCCCAGCACAAGCGCTGCTTCACAAGTGCAGCGCACGCAGGGCCTGAGAGAAAGACAACGAGCAGCTCACACAGCTCTGGGCCACGCAGCACCAGCTTCCACCTACCCAAGCAAACTGGGGGATTTGTCCACTGCCCATCAATGCAGGTGATTTGCTCAGGTCCTTTCAGGATGTAGAAACTTGCACATTTGTATTTCAGCGTTGCACCTTCAGGGTATTGTTTCAACTGGAAAGAAAGGATGTCTCCATTTTCAATATCTGGAGGTGGGCCGCATTTTCCACCTTCCCCTGGAAGACCAATAACCATTACAAAGAAAGCCATCAGAGTTTAGATGCAACAGAAGCCTAGTCACAAATTCTTCAGAAGACCAGCTAGGCAGCACTTCAAGAGACTTGGAGGAAAGCAGAGAGAAATCTGTCACCTTGACACCAAATGCCTGGTAAATGGAAAAGCTTCTCATTCCTCTGCTGCCAGGACTCACAACTACCACTTCATCCATTTTTCCTTGCTGGAGTGTTTGCATCTTTCTGAAGGACTTGCACTGGTCCTGCAAAATGGCGTAGTGTTTTTGGCACAGCTCTTGCTGCAGAAGAGCCTGACTCTCCCCCGCTCCCTGTGCTGCCTGAACAGGGACAAGAGTGGATCAGTTTGCAAACCAGAACAAATGTCACTGGGCTGTACCATTTTGGTTCCTAATGAGATAGCTTTTTGCTTCTGTGGAGCACTTACAGCCACTGAGGAGACTGCACAAGCCAGCATGAATGCATCATGCCTGATTTCTTACTCACTTTTAAAAGTCGGGCCCTGCAGCTTCTTGGATTTTTATACCTGTTGAAGCACCACCCTGCTCTGAAGCCTGGCATTCTAACAGGCGTTGCTTTGAGAAGATCCTGCACTGGGTCACTGGCACCAGTAATGCTGCTCTTTGCACTTGGCACTGTGCTCAGCAACCACAATAGGGAGCCCGGTCTTAATTCATCTGGTATGTCTGCACCCCATTCACCTGCCAGCTGGGCAGTGTCCGAGTCAAATGACACTGCATTTGTTCATGTGCTGAAACCTAGCACACGCCTCATGAATCAAATGAGATTATTCAATGTGCGCGTGAAATCCTGGGCACCAACGTGGTACCAGCTGTTAGCTCACCCATCAGCTACGGCCCGCAGGTATTTTAACAGTAGACTCAATTACACGGCATTCACAAAGGCAATGCTCCACTTGCATTTCCTGGATGTCAGTGAGCAGGAGAACTGTGAGCTCTGTTCTCCAGCACAGACAGCACAATTTCTCACTCTCCTCACATGAGGCATTCTCAGAAAGTAGATTTGCAGAACTGAAAGGTTGCAGTCTCAAAATCAGACCTGGCCAGCAGTTGCTCTCAGACTCAGGGTACTTTTCCAGATGTGGCACCCCTTGAGTGAAGCCATCTGGTAGACTTCTATTAAACACATCCTGCCCACACAAATGGAGGGATACAACTGAAAATGCCTTTTTCCTGAGTCTGACAGATACTGTTGCACTTGCTCACAGTCCTGAGACTGAAATTTGGAGACCTAAATGTCACACAATTTGTACACCCTCGTGTATTCCCCTATACAAAGTACAGTTAAGAGAATCATTGTGTTATTCCCCAGACTATGTTCTTAAGTGCAAGAGACAAAATTGCCTTACCAATGTGGTTTGATTTTTCAATCTTTTTTCCTTGGCTTTCTGGGGCACTGTGAGCCCCAGGAATGTAAATTAACATGACAAAGGCAGCAGAACACCTTCCAGATTCTCAGGAGATGACAGCGACAGTGAGAGCTTCTAGAAAAAGCCAGCATTTCTGTAGCTACACCACATGCCACAAAAAGCCTCCTTGCAAGGCCATGGCCCTCTACTGAGAACCCCAGCGCTTTTCAAAATCACAGATGTAGCAGCCAAGCTGGCTCTCTGCTGAACTGCAGAGCTCTGGAAGACATTATCAGCCTGTACTACTCATGGGACAGGTAAGTAAAGTTGACTCCATGGGGGTGTATGACTGCCACGTTGCACTTGTTCAGCCCCCAGCCACAGATTTGGGCAGGGACTAGGACGACGGCACAGCTCCTCTTCAGAGGATCCTTCTTGCCATTGCAGAACCCAGCCGATCTGCATGTTTTAGTTCCTGAGGCTCTGCTGGGATCTCTGTCATAGTGGAGCCTCAGAGAAGAGCTCCTGTTTCTCTCCTCTAGTGCTTCTGCCATTCCGATACTCTCTGACAGCCCTGAACACAACAGAGGAGCCCTTACACATCTTTCTAGTGAAGGTCAGTAAAATGGTGTAGTCTGGAAATTACTTGTATCGCAGAGAAGAATAGCAAGTCAGCATACTCTAGGCCTTTTTTCTTCAAGATATTTTTGCTCTTAATGAAAATACCCATAAAATTTCTAGAAGCATTAAGCTAAATTAAAGTTCTATGTAAAAAAGCAGTAGTAGGTACAAAGCTGCAGTACACAAAGGAAACAAAACTAAAAAAGGTAATGTCTTTCTAGTATTAAGGTAATCCAAACAGTCCCCATGAAGCGAACAGCCATAATGAAGGCACAAATTCCTACCTCTGCAATGTGGCTCTTTTGTCCAGTGTCCATCTGAACAAATGACATAATTTACACCCATAATTTGTGAATTACTTTCACATTCATAATGCACTTTGGCACCAGGCAGATACCTCTGCTGCTGAGTGCTGGTAACATGAGCATTGGGAATTTCAGGAGGAGGTCCACAGCTAACATCTGAAAAGAGAGGTGCGTTTGAGAATCATAGGACAGGAATATGGCTATCACAGAATAACGTATTCAGAAGCACCATTATTCCTGATGAGGACAGATGGTTTGCATATGGTAGGTCATTTTCTACCAGTAGGAAAGGAAGATACTATGGGTTTCATTCTGCAATGCTTCACCTGGCAATTATTATTTATTATTTTATTTTTGCTTACAGTGACTTAAGAAGAGGAAAGGAGCTGCAGAGACCAGCTGAATGTGCATACTGATGCCATACAGCATTGTGTGCCAAAGCGCTGGAGAACAAAATGGTTTATTTACTATTTGAAGGTAACTTTCATAGACTGAAATTTAAAATATGTAAGGCTACCATCTATGTCACTCTTTGCAGCCAGCACCCTTTCCTCCATAATCCTCTGACTGCTAATCTAAGCAGTGAGCGAAGCTGTGGCTACTGGCTTCAGTCCAGAAGGGGAAAAGATTTCTTTGCTGATCAGTCCTCCTTGGTGCTTCTCAGGGACCAGGAAAACAGGTGTTGGAGCAATCTATTAAAAGCAACTCAATGATCAGATCTACTGGTCTGACTCAGTTGCACATATCGGTTGGCGTTACATTACCTACTGTTCCTGGAAGACTAAGAAGGATCATAGACTACTTAGAAGTACAACCTATACCTTCACAGATTGGTGGTGTTGACCAATTTCCCCTTCTGCAAAAAATTTCAGGGGGACCAGTGACCTGAAATCCTTCATGACACTGGTAGCGAACTGTTTCACCAGGCTCGTACTTCTCCTTGCTCCTGCCTTCAAATGCAGCATTGGCCACTGCTGGAATACTTCCACATGGTCTTTCTGAAAAGATATGCAAACTTGAAACTTTGGGTAATACAATGCACATAGAATGACTGTATTGTTCCCACCAAAAAGATGCCTTTTATAGCACCATCACATACCACTGTCTAGGGGAAATTAACTAACCACGCAGGCACTAGATAACATACATAGATCAAGTGAGATGAAACCTTTTTTACTGTCGATGTGCAGTAGACTACTGCAGGGCCCAAAAAAAGTCAGACTCCGAGAATCACAGAATCACAGAATTTCTTGGTTGGAAGAGACCTCAAGATCATCGAGTCCAACCTGTGACCTAACGCTAACAGTCCCCACTAAAACATATCCCTAAGAGAAGAAGCATCCTGAAACAGATGAGTGAAACGGGAGCACCTGCAGGACTCTTCCTGCTGTCTGTTTACCACAGACATTCAATGCAACTCAAAACAGGGTCACGGACAGGTGCAGGACACGGGAGTTACGACGGTACATGGTAATGGTACATGGTGCAAGAGAATGAGAAATGTCCACCGTTGCCAAGTCAAATAGCAAAAAAAATTACCCTTACCCAAACACTGAGGTGGTCCGGGCATCCAGACTTTTCCATGGCATGTTACCCATTCTGATCCTGATAAAGCATATCCAGGGTCGCATGTGTATTGCACTCTGTCATTTTCCTCATATTCGGATTTAACGCCACTAACAATTTTGCCAAACTCAATGAGAGGTGGGTCTTCACATGCTGCTCCTGCAGAAGCTGTGCACAGGTTTCTGTTATTTGGCTGCACGTTGCTGTTTATATCCTGATTTATTGCTACCACCAATTCCTTCAAAATGAATAACAAGTGGGTGTTTGCATGCTGTTCCACCAGAAAATATAAAAAAAAAATTCTTCTCATCTGATAGATACTGCAGAGTAATCAGATCTCCAAAGAATGGTGTTACACGGGAGTTGAATAATATTCAGATAACCTACATGCCTGCATTTGGGAATAGACTGTACTAATAATTCTCCTTCCTCTAAGACATTGTGAACTTCTATACTATTTTTACAGTCTTCCCATAAGATGGAGTTACTAAAGTAAACACACTTGAACTGAACAGATGAATAAACTTCTGAATTTCTCAGATTACAGCTCTTGTTTTCCAGTGTTATACTAAACTAGTGATTTACACTTACAGCCATGATGCTCAATTGTCTTTAATTCCTTGATCAAATCAGTTTGTCTCAAATTACCAAAATTAGTTCCATCACTTTGAAATGAAAGAACTTAGATCGTTCTTTCAAAGTATAAGGTATGTGCATGGAAAGCACTTCTAAGATGTGCCTGTGTAGAGGGAGAAGAGTTTTGATATGCTGAAGACTATATAATGGATCAATTATAGAGTTTAAAACCAGTCATTTTTGTAAAAGTACATATTCAGTGAAGAGCTTCTTCAGGCTGCATTCGTCACAGAACTTACTGAAATGACAAAATACCCTAAGAGTTGTGCAATATTTTAAAATCAAATCAGAATTCTGCATTTAAATAGCATGTTCTCAGAATAACAGCAGCTCAACTGAAATACAAAGGAATTCATATGCATGTATGTTGAGGGGGTTATGTCTAGTTATAAGTCAGGTTTGCCATGTGAGCCGTTAAGTTCAGGCACAAAGCAGAGAACTCAGACCAAAAAAAAAAAAAAAAGGAAAAAAAAAAGGCAAGTATTCTC